CCCGTCCGCGTGAACTCAAGGGGATTCACTCGGCAGCCCCCGCTCCCCTCCCGCCGCGCCTCTGCCCCGGTGTCGGGCTAGGTACTGGGCTCCCTCGCCCGCCGCTTCCCTCACCCGTCTGCACACTCACGGGCCATGCCGACCACCGGACGGAACCTGGAAAAGAGAGACTCGGAAAAGCAACGGCTCCCTCGCACGCTCAGCTATCGTCGCCACCCGCCGATCTGAAAAACTGAGCCCGCGCCCGCCCTCCGCGGGGCAACGCCTCCGCTCAGTCCGCTAGCCGCCCAGCCCCGCTGAGCCCTGACAACAGCCGCCGGCGTGGCTGGCGAGCTACTGCGCGTGCGCGCCTGGGGGGTGGGCGGTCGCTCCCCGAGGGCGGGGTCGCAGCTCCGGAGCTTGGACTGCACCCGGCCCGGGGGCTCCTGGCGTTTGCAGGTGTCGGAGAAGCGGGTCCCGTGTCTAAGAGAGGCTTAGGTGTGTGTGGATTTCCCACGCACTGGGACTTAATCAGCCGTTTTTGACAACAAGGGACAATAAACACTACAAAATCTTAATTTTCGACAAAGAGCGTTAGCTTTCATTCAGATCCCCCTGCAGAGGCGAAAAGGGGAGGAAGGCGATTGAACAATTAAAGGGTTAACTGCGGATGACAGTGTGGACCATTTCTGTTTTCCTTCCTTATTCTAGCAAGAACCCTGCAAAGTAGGCTTCATTGTTCTCATTTTACAGAACAGGCTGATTTAACAAGAAGGGATTTATAGAAGTGAGAATCAAATTTAACATGAACTCTAAACTCTATACATTTCTCATTTTATCCCAGTGCCCTTGTCGCAGTCAACAGGGCTTTAGGAGTTTTAGGTTACAGGCTCTCTGCTTGGATTGTGAGGTGGGAAGAAGAGGGCAGAATTTAGAATAGCTCAGAATAACCTCAGCCTACACAAAAACTGGGGACCATCTGCCTTAGCTAGAAACAAACATGTGAGCCTTCCACAAGGCTGGGATGTAGCTTAGTGGTAGGATGCTTGCCTGGCATGTGTGAGAGACGGGGTTCAACTCCCAGCGACAGCCACACACAAAAAAAGAAGAAATGTTTGTGTGTTTTGTTTGACTGATCCGTACTTTCTTACCTATTCCATTGTTACAAAAAGAGACTATACGGACACCCTAAATTTGGTCAGTGTTTTTTAAAACGGTTTCATTTTGTACAATTATAATGTAGTCCCCCCAATATGGAAAGAAAAAAGGGGTTTTAAAATTTTTTTGTTTTTATTTTTGGAGGATTTCAAATATATACAGAAGTGTGGAAAATACTATAATGCACCCCCCAAGTACATTTGACCAAACTTCAACAGTTACTATCTTATAAAATTGCTTATTTTCTTTATTTATTTTTTATTTATGGCACTGGGAATTTAACTCAGGGGCACTTTTTCACAGAGTCACATCTCCATCCCTTTTTGAGACAGGGTTTTTCTAAGGTGCTTAGAGTCATGTTAAGGTGCTGAGGCTGCCTGGAACTTGTCTCCTCCTGCCTCCTCCAGAGTCACTGGAATCACAGGCCTGCACCTCTGCACCTTACAAAATTGCCTATGTTAGAGAAGGCAGGAGAAAGTGGCTCTGGAAATGCAACCTCTGGGTTGAAAATCCAGCTTTGTCAGTTAGTAGCTCTGTTAACCTGGGAACTCATAGATTAAAGAGTCCTTTACCTGTAAAATGTAAGGTACAATGGTACCTCCCTCATTGATTGATTAATATTTTAAGTATTTGGTTGATTGATTCATATTTTAAGTATTTGGTGAAGCATCAGCATATCGTAGCATTCAATATGTTAGCTATTTTTTCATTGTTCTGTCAACCTTAGCTTTGCATACTTATCACTGTTCCCATGCTCCTCCTGACCCTCTCCTTAATACTGCTTATAAGTCTATTTAGTGAATCTCCTCCTCCTCCTCCTCCTTTTTTTGCATTTCCGGAGATGTGAACTTTTCTTGAGTAACTTAAGCAGAAGGAAAAGATTAATTTTGTGGCCCACCTATTATAAAGAGATCATCTAAAGAGGGAGGGATGGAATGAATTTTGGGTTGTAAAGTGGGAAAGAGTTGTTTTTGTACAGGGCATGGTGGTATAAGCCTGTAATCCCAGTGTGTTGGGAAGTTGAGGCAGAAGGATTGAAAGCTCAATGATAAAGTGTCTCTGGATTCAATCCGCAATAATAGTTAAAAAAGCTTGTTTTTGTTTGTGTTTTCAATTTATAATGATTGATTTTTTTCTTTGCAGCTGAAATTATAGTATTTGAGTTGGAGGGGTATGCATGATGTACATCATATACACAAGATATGTCAAGTGTGTCTTCCAGAGAAAACTGGAGATTTTCTTTTCTTTCTTTCTTTTGTTTTTCTTTTTCTTTTTCGGTACTAGGGATTTAATTCAGGAGTTCTTTACTACTGAGATGCATCACTAACCTTTTTTATTTTCTATTTTGAGACATGGTCTCACTAAGTTGCTGATGCTGGTCTTGAACTTGTGACCCTTCTGTCTCAACCTCCTGAGTCCCTGGGATTATAGGTGTAATACCGGATATTTTAAAATACTAATGACACTAAGAATTTACTCCACAAATTTGGGTGTGTTACAAATGTCTTATGACTGTGTTTAATAGTAAAAATTTTATCTGACTTTACTGCCATATCTTTACTAGTAGAAACTAAATCTAAGTCATTATTGATTTCTTTACCTATAAAATTATTGGAATGCTCTAGATTCTTGGTGGAACAGAACATTTGAAAGAAGGCCTTGTGTCTTCAGTTTGCATCAGAACATTCTGTCCAAATCTGTATGGTCCTACCAATGGCTCTAAGATCCTGAGACATCTTTTCTTTGGCAAATTTTTTTTTGTACTGGGGACTGAACCCAGGGGTGCTTTACCACTGAGTTACACCCCAGCCCTTTATATTTTTTATTTTGGAACAGTGTCTCAATACATTGCTCAGGGCCTCACTAAATTGCTGAGGTTGACCTGGAACTTGCAATCCTCCTGCCTCAGCCTTCCAAGTTGCTGTGATTACAAGTGTGGGCCACTATATCCATCTGGCAAGGTATTCCTTTTCAATTTTTGGGTTTTTAAAAATTTTTTGGTGCTGGCAACTTAACCCAGGGCCTTGTGCAGGCTAAGCACTGAGTTTCTTTAAATGCATCTTAGGGAGGGAAAAAAGTACAAAAAAAACCCCAAGAAAAACAAAAAATTTAAAAGAAAATTAATCTGAGATCATGGTTTTTATTTCCAGAGTACTGGAGAGGGTCCACAGAACTTACAGACCTCCACTTTCTTCCCATTCTTAAAGTAATCTCTTTCAGCCTTGCCTTCATATTTTCAAAAGCACTTGCTTCTTTTCTTTCTCCCTCTGGATGACCTATTTTTTTCAGCCAGTACAGGATTTTGTTTCTTTGATGTTTTGTTACTAGTGTCAGGGGATGTTCTTATGGAATTCCTCCCTCCTTTCAAGAAGGAATCAGGCTTTTGTTGTTTTCATAAGTCAGGGGATTTGTATCACAGGTTCAGACATTGCTTCATACCTACAAGGTGAGCCTTATCTCTGGTTATTTTGCCTCCTACCATAAAGGCTCCTCATTACTCTCTATTATTATTTAAATTTATTTCATGACATTGAATGTGAGTATACACACTTTGGCACCAGGGGTTGAACCCAGGGATGTTGAACCCAGGGGTGCGGAACCACTAAGCCACATCACCAGCCCTTTTCTATATTTTATTTGACAGGGTCTTGATGAATTGCTGGGACTGGCTTTGAACTAGTGATTCTCCTGGGATTACAGGTGTGTGCCACCGCACTGGGCTAAGCAACCCAATGATACTTTGTCTCTAAATAAAATATAGAATAGGTTTGGGGATGTGGCTTGTGGTTAAGTGCTCCTAGGTTCAATTCCTGGTACCAAAACAAAAACAAAAAAAATTTTTTGTTGTATTTCTTCCCCAGCCAAGAACATTTTATTACTGTATTGCTATCTCTTGAAGCAGATTAAGAATACTCATGCTGACTTGCAGAGTTTCGATTACAATAATTTTTGAATGGGCAATACATTCGAAAGTACACAAGGGCGTATAGTGAACTGTCTTCACAGGATGCTCAGCAGAAACCTGGTTCCTCTCCTAGGGTGCAAGTGTAATCACGCCTTCACAACAGAATTTCTTTCTTTTTTTTTTAAGATAGAGTGAGAGAGGAGAGAGAGAGAGAGAGAGAGAGAGAGAGAGAGAGAATTTTTTCAATATTTATTTTTTAGTTATCAGCGGACACAACATCTTTATTGGTATGTGGTGATGAGGATCGAACCCGGGCCGCACTGCACGCCAGGTGAGTGCGCTACCGCTTGAGCCACATCCCCAGCCCCCCACAACAGAATTTCTAATCTATATTCTATGCAATTTTGATTTTCTTGAAAGCTGGAAAACAATTTTTAAATTTTATTTACTTATGTTTTGGTATTGGGCTTTGAACCCAGCAGCCAATTTGCGATCCAGTTGCCTCAGCCTTGCCTAAGAGTTGCTGGGATTACAGGACTAAGCCACCGCGCCAGGCTTCAATTTAGAATTTCTGAGCCCTGGGGATCCCCATATACTGGTGTGCAGGCGCCGCTCTCATATACTTAAATGCTCTTGGAGACCCTTTAAAAATAAATTGGTCAGTTATTTTACTAGTTTCCATTAAGCCTCTCGTTGAGGGGGCTGAGGGGGTAGCCTAGCGGTAGATTGCATGTTCAGCAAGCGGAAAGCCCTGGGTTCGATTCCCAGCCCCGGGATGGGAAAATTGAAGGCTTTGAGCTGTGGAGTCGACTCGGCCTCTTCTCTCTCTTTTCAACAACTCCTAAGGACGCCTGAAGAAGGAATAGCGTACACCTTAGTTTCTCAAATTCCAGTTCACAGGTAACCCAAGCTCTCGGTAGTTGCCATGGCTCCCGGCGCCCTGAGTCTGACGTCAGTCAGCTGCGCTGCCTGATGACGCGATCAGTTCCGGCGCCCTCTGAGGGCGGGGGAGCAGCGAGGGAGAAACTTAGCTCTTAGTGTGGCAGGGTCATGAAGAAGAGGCGGTGGTGGGAGAGAGGTGGCGGCGGCGGGGGCGCGAAACTGCGGTAGCCGCCCGCGGGGCCGGTGGTGTGGCTTTGTGGGGAGGGCGTAGGTCCTAGCCCCCTCTCGGGCAGCGGCCGGGGCTCGGGGCTTAGCGCGGCCGTGGAGCCGCCTCCCCGGGCCCCCTGGCTCCGCCATGTTCCGCAGGGCACGCCTTAGCGTGAAGCCGAATGTCAGGCCTGGTGTAAGCGCCAGGGGCTCTACCGCTCCCAATCCCCAGCGCGGCCAGGAGTCTCCCAGGCCCCCGGAGCCTACGGCGGAGTCCGCTCCGAAGCCAGTGGAGCCCACAGATGTGCCCGCGGTGGATTCCGGGGCAGCGGAGCCCCAAGAAAAGGCTCCTAGGAGCAGGTAAGCGCTTGCAGAGGGAAAATGTCTGGATGAACCCACTCTAAACTGCAGTTTGTCCCTCTGACCTTTCGTCAGGATCTGTATGTTCACGAGGAGACCTGGTCTTCCAGTTGGTGGTGATGGAAATCCAGTATAGCAATCTGAAGGGAGAATAGCCATGCTGTCACTTGAGAATTTAATTATCGTAGTTTTTAAGTTTTTTTTTTGCAAGGAAAGTGGTTTAAAAATTTTTTGAAAATACTTATTTTTAAGAAGGAGATCGCCAGTATTGCTTTTTTTGTTTCTCCCGGTGTTGGTGATCGAACTCGGGGCCTCGCACATGCTAGGCAAGCGCTCTGCCACTGAGCTATGTTCCCAGATTGTTCTGCTTCTGCTGATTTGTGTCAAGGAAAGAAGTTTCGGTTGCTTGCTTTGGGTTTGAGGGGTGCACTTTATCAAGAATCATGGCTTTAGCGTCGTGTACCGCATTTGGATTAAGGACTCTTTTACTTAACAATTTAAGTAGACTTTTCCTAGACAAAATTTATTTTGCTAAATAAGGATAATATTATCTTCTTTGGGGGCGTTATTTTGGAGATTGGAGATAACTTACTTGCACAGCACAGGCCAGAATAGTTCCCCTACAAAAGTTCTTAAGTTTTGCTTTTTCGTTTTGTTTTTTTTTGGTACCGGGGATAGAACTAGGCGGCACTGGATCACTGAGCCACATCGCCAGCCCTGTTTTGTGTCACTGAGTTGCCTAGTGCCTCACTTTTACTGAGGCTGGCTTTGAACTCGCTATCCTCCTGATTGCAGGTGTGCCCAGGCACTGGCCAAAGTTCTTAGTTTTTAGAAAGGGTGACAGTGGAAAGTAATTAAATTAAAAACCTGCCAGGTTTATAAGGTGGTCTCTGTTTTTATATTGTATGTAGGAGGAAACAGTAAAAAACCAGCCCTGTTAAGTGCCAGTGAGTTGGTACAAATTTTGTTTATATTGTGACAAAAAGGTGAACATTTTCTTTTGTGGGAGCACAACTTATTCTAGTAAGCTGGTGCTAGTTATTTTGATAGTTCATTGATGCTCAGTTATTTCCAAGTTTTTTTTTACATGAATCTGATTTAAAATTTCTCCTTAAAATGGAGATACAATACCTCTTACTGCTAAATTAATATTAAGTTTTGAGAGATTTGATTAACAGTGTAGGAATGCATGATGATTAATAGTTTAATAAATTATTGTTATATGTCTCAGACTGTAGTCCTGAGACATTCATGCTCTAGAGTATTTAATTGATTTCTTAGAATTTAAATTAAGGAGTATATTTTGTTTTTGAACTGCATTTTTTTGTGTGTGGGCGTTTTTGCTAGATGCAAAAATTGATAGGGTGTATATTCTGCCATTATGCATTCAACATAGTTGGGCAAAATGCACATCATGCATATATCATTTCTATAAGGGCTGAGATAAGATTTTTGGGGGGGAGTGGGCAGCAGTTGGGAGTGGGCACCAGGTCCTTGAACATGCTGGGCAGGCACTCTGCTACCAGTTACCTCTTCAGCCTGAGATAAGAATTTAAACTGGAAACTTTCTGGAAAGGTTATTCCATAGGTTAAGGCATTTTGCATTTTTATATAAAAACCAATTATAAAATATGAAAAAAGTTTTTTGTTTTTTTCTTCTCTTATTTTGTGGTTGTGGGGATCAAGACCAGGGCCTCACATATGCTGGGGCAAGCACTCTTACCAATGAGCTACATTCCTGGCCCCTTTTTTCTTTTTAATATTAAGACAATTGTTACATAATAATTGTTTTTTTATTTTTTTTTAAAGAGAGAGTGAGAGAGGAGAGAGAGAGAGAATTTTTAATATTTATTTTTTAGTTCTCGGCAGACACAACATCATTGTTGGTATGTGGTGCTGAGGATCGAACCCAGGCCGCATGCATGGCAGGCGAGCGCGCTACTGCTTGAGCCACATCCCCAGTCCCGTTACATAATAATTGTACATATTTATAGGGTACAGTGTGATGTTTCAGTACATGTATACAATGTGTAATGATCAGATCAGGGAAATTGGTGTATCCATTACTTCAAAAGTGTTTCTTTGTCTTTGGAACATTTCAAATTCTTTCTACTAGCTATTTTGAGATATAAAATTATTTGTTATTAACCCTACAATTGTATTATCACCTGACTGTGTTATAGTATATTAGAAGTTATTCATTCTATCCAACTTTCACCCTGTTCTCTTTTCTTGATTTGATTTGTTTTTAGGCCATTCTTGAATTATTTATGTCTTATCTGTATCATATCTAATATGTATTTTGAAGTGACTGAATATTTCGGCTGTGTAAGTAGAGTTGTACCTGAAAAAGAATAAATGATTCCTGCTTCAAATAGCATTTGGTTTGAGTCTGGTGAAGTGGCATACACCTGTAATCCTAGCAGCTCAGGAGGCTGAGGCAGAAGGATTGCAAGTTCAAGGCCAGATTCAGCAACTTAGCAAGGCAATAAGCAACTTAATGAGATTCTGTCTCAAAAACATAAAAAGGACCAGAGATGTGTGGCTCAGTGGTTAAGCACCCCTGGGTTCAATTTCTGGTACAAAAAAAAAAAAAACCTAACAAAAAAGGAATTTGGTTTGGCTAATGAGGTTAAATGTAGTATGTCTTCAAATACTGCAATACAAATATTTTATAAGTTTGAAGTTTTGTGTATTTGCTTTGACTGATCTCATGTTGATATAGTGCCAATAATTTAGACCAATTTAGGGAGATGTCAAAGTGATGTATAGACTGTATTTGAAAAGAAACCTCTGTCTGCCATGCACGAGGCCTTGGGTTCCATCCCAGCATCATCTGTAAAACAGAAACATAAAACAAAAAAGTTAAGTCTTAAAACAAAACCCTCAGTTATTCAAAGTAGGTTGATTAAGTTTGTTCTGTAAAAACTTAGGTTTTTGTTTGCTTTGAGGAAACTAGCATATAATTATGTTGTCTGCTGAGCTTAGGTACATAATATTTGAAAAGATTAACAGTATTCATTAGAATTTATATAAGTTAAAAAGATTTTAAACAAAACTTATAGTAATCAGCATAAATCTTAAGTCATTGGACATGCTAATGTGAACCCAGGGTCTTGCACATTCTCTACCACTGAATTGTACCCCTAGACCCCCATTAATTCTTTTTTTTTAATTATTGTTGGTTGTTCAAAACATTACATTAGTTCTTGATATATCATATTTCACACTTTGATTCAAGTGGGTTATGAACTCCCATTTTTACCCCGTATACAGATTGCAGAATCACATCAGTTACACTTCCATTGATTTACATATTGCCATACTAGTGTCTGTTGTATTCTGCTGCCTTTCCTATCCTCTACTATCCCCCCTCCCCTCCCCTCCCCTCCCCTCTTCTCTCTCTACCCCCTCTACTGTAATTCATTTCTCCCCCTTGTATTATTTTTCCCTTTCCCCTCACTTCCTCTTGTATGTAATTTTATATAACCCTGAGGGTCTCCTTCCATTTCCATGCAATTTCCCTTCTCTCTCCTTTTCCCTCCCACCTCTCATCCCTGTTTAATGTTAATCTTCTTCTCATGCTCTTCCTCCCTACTCTGTTCTTACTCTCCTTATATCAAAGAAGACATTTGGCATTTGTTTTTTAGGGATTGGCTAGCTTCACTTAGCATCATCTGCTCTAATGCCATCCATTTCCCTGCAAATTCTATGATTTTGTCATTTTTTAAATGCAGAGTAATACTCCATTGTGTATAAATGCCACGTTTTTTTTTATCCATTCGTCTCTTGAAGGGCATCTAGGTTGGTTCCACAGTCTTGCTATTGTGAATTGTGCTGCTATGAACATCGATATAGCAGTGTCCCTGTAGCATGCTGTTTAGACCGAGAAGGGGAATAGCTGGGTCAAATGGTGGTTCCATTCCCAGCTTTCCAAGAAATCTCCATACTGCTTTCCAAATTGGCTGCACCAATTTGCAGTCCCACCAACAATGAACAAGTGTACCCTTTTCCCCACATCCTTGCCAGCACTTGTTGTTGTTTGACTTCATAATGGCTGCCAATCTTTTTTTAATAATGAGACTTTAGTGTTTTGGATTTTTATCAGACTAGGTTTTAAAACTAGGACATACGAAAGAAGATTCATGGTGTTCGTTTTTCTTTTCTTTCTTTCTCTCTCTTTTTCTCTCTTTTAAATTTCAACAGTGATGAGAAGATTGGTGGTGAAAATAATGTTGAAGAATCCAGCAAATTGTCCTCCACCGTTTCACAGAGAAGAAAGCGAATATCAAGTACTTCTGGTTTGGTTAAGCCTAGTGTCAGTGTTCCTTCACAGTCTCATCCCTTATCTACAGTTAATCAAGATGCTCCACAGCCAAACCCCATTCCAACAAAAGAGAAACAGCCATGCTCAGACAGATACCGAATATATAAAGCCCAGAAACTGAGGGAAATGTTAAAAGAAGAATTGAGAAAAGAGAAGGTAAGGGAGGAAAATCCCAATTTCAATGTTGCTTGGTAGATTTCTGTTTTTAGGTTAGTATGGCATCATTTGGAAGAAAAATAAGCATCTCTAGTAAAACCAAAATAACATCCCTTATGCGTCTGTAGCAAAACCAAAATAACATCTCCCTTTGTTAATAGATGATTGAGAAGTATGTTGAACTTCATAGTCAACTAATAAAAATTTTTATGTACTTCATTTAATTATGTTTTTTATTTTTTTCTGTTTTTTTTTATTGGTGCATTATAGTTGTATGTAATGATGGGATTTGTTATATATCTATATATGTACAACATAATTTGGCCAGTATCATTCCTCTTTGTTTTTAGTGAGGGCAACAAGTAAAAGTTTTATAAGAACATATATATAGATACATAGGCATATTTGTAAAATAAACCTTGAATCGGATTTTTCATATAAAGATATCCATGTGACATGCTGTATATTTATTTTTGTTAAGACAAAGGTATTTGAATTAAGATAAACATGGTTGAGCAATATGAATTGGTAATTTTCTGTGTGGAAAATTACAAATGGGAAATATTTGTGCAATGCATATAGTAGAGTCCATGTTCTTTATAATCTTGAAAACTAATTTTTTTTTTTTCCCCTTGGAAGGACATGGTAATAGTGGTGAAGCATGCTGGCTCTGGAGTTAGATACTTAGGCTTTAAGTCTTAGCTATGTGATGTTGGGCAGTTTAATTGATCTTTCTATGTCTATTTCCTCATCTGTAAAATAGGACCAATAATAGCATCTACCTCATTGTGAACATTAAATAAATTAATACATGTGAAACATATTTAAACTTAAGTCTAGAAAATAGTAAGTGCTGGTATGGTGGTGCATGCCTGTAATCCCAGCTATTTGGAAGGCCGAGGTGGGAGGATTGTGAGTTTGAGTCCAACCTGGGCATCACAGTGAGACCCCATCTTTAAAAAAAAAAAATTCTGTTGAAAATATTAAGTGTCCACCAAATGTCAGCATTTTTTTTTTTCCCCTCTGTACTAGAGATTGAATCCAGGGCCTCATGCATGATAGATAGGCAAGCATTCTACTGCAAAGCTACACCCAGCTCCAGTGAGCAGGATTTTGTACATTGAACTTTCATCCAGTCCCAATCACTTTAGATTTTAAAAAAAAACTATTATGGGTAATGTGCTACAATTTTTTAATATTCAGCTCATAATTTTTTCCCTAAAATTAGATATAATCAGAATAGGAATAATATTAAAACTCTTGGAATGAATGTAATAGTGGTCCATATATTTGACTATAGTACATTTGAAATTCTTCTATATTTATATAAAATAAAAGTGGATCTGTGTGTTTGTATATATAGAAACAATGGAAAAACAAATATGCTATAAATGAAAGTCAGAGGCCACCAGATCGTTCAAAAATGACTATGAGAGACTTCATATATTACCTGCCAGATAATAATCCAATGACGTAAGTAAAATTTATTTGTTTTAGTTTCTCTGTAGTGATTTAAGTACCACATTTAGAGTATAGTTTCTTGTTTTCTAAAAGCATGTTGAAAAAATTTGTAGCACATATGTTATACTGTGACTGAAGATTTTATGATAACTATTAGTGATCTTTTTTCTTTTTGTGGCACTGGAGATTGAACTCTCGACTTCACACTTAAGCATCACTGAGCTACATCCCCAACCCTTTTTTTTGTTTGAGACAGGGTCTTGGAAAAGTTGCCCATGTTGGCCTTGAACTTGATATCCTCCTGTGTCAGCCTTTAGAGTCACTGGGATTATAGTCCCATACCTCTTGCCTGTTTTATTTCTTTCCTCCCCTCCCCTCCCCTCATGCTGGGAAAAATCTATATAAAAACTCTGTATCTCAACCATAAGAGTAAAGATCCTAAAAGAAAGTTTTCTGATATATAAAAGAAAAGAAATCAAAGTAGTTGAAGTTAAATCTGAAAAATCTTTGAATGTATAAATAATGACAAAGAAGACACCCTTCCCTTCCCCTCCCCTTTCCTTGTGTGGGGATTGAATCCAGGGCCTTGCTTGTATATACTGCTGAGCTATACCCCCAGCTGTGATTGCAATTAACTGTTTTCTGGGGATGGCAAATGATACTTTTTATTGATGATATGAAAAATAAGTTTCCTTTGTTATATTAATTAACAGGATGTAGTAAAACCAGTTAGGCAACTTTTCTATAATCAAGGTTGCAATTTCTCTTTATTAGGTACTATAACCTAATCTAAAGGAGCTATCTAAGATTTTAAGCAGTACATCGTGATTAAATTCAATGGTAGTTTGATTAGCAAATCTTTCAAGAATAAGGCTTCAAAGTCTTGGTTGGGGTTGGGGACAGAAGTCTTCTAAATAAATCTGGTCATTGTTGTTGATAGTTTAGCTGATAGAGGTAGCATATTTTTTAGTAGGACCTTTTGGGGTTCACCAGGTGTTTGACCCAGTTGAAGGAAGGGCCGGAAACCTAGATTTTGAGTTGCTTGACATACACACATTGAAGACAAGCTATGTAGGTATTTTTACATCTTGGGATTGGGAGCCTCCCTTTATTAAGGAATCAGGAATTACTAAAAGCATGAACCTAACAGATTATTTGTACTTGATTACAAATTTTTGACTGAAAAATTTTCTTCCTCCCTCCGTTCCTCCCTCTTTCCCTTTTCTTAATTTCCCTTCTTTTCCCTTTCCTGTTTTCTGTGTTGAGGATTGAACTCAGGGATTTAAGCATACTAAATACACACTGAGCTAAAACCCCAGCTGTGACTGAAAAATTGTTAAACTGTGCCATTATTAATGAAGTACTATGGTTTGTTATATCTTTGAAAAAACACATAGAAGTTAATTTTCTTCTTGCTTACAGATAGAATTGGCAAGACAAATTCAGTCATTAAAAAGTATTGTTATTTGTGTTTAATAGTTCTTCACTAGAGCAAGAAAAGAAAACTGAAAAGTCATTGACTCCCATCCAGTCAAGAGAGTAAGTATTCCATCTTATTCTTTTTTGAATGTATTCTATTATGGGAATATCTTTTCAATAAAATGAAATGATTTTGAGGTCTGTGTCGAGATTTTTCTTTTCAGTCTTCTAATTAAATAAGCAGTTAATACAAAACTAGAGAAAGTTCTCTAAAGGAAAGTTTTTTAAAAAGAAATGATTGAACCAGCCCCTTTTTTAAAAAGAAATGATTGAACCCAGGGGCACTTTACTACTGGGCTAAATCCCCAGCCCTTTTTAAATTTTTATTTTGAGATAGGGTCTCCCTAAGTTGCTTAGGGGCTTGCTAAATCGCTGAGGCTAGCCTTAAACTTGAAATCCTCCCACCTCAGCTTCCCGAGATGCTGGGATTATAGATGTGCATCACCATGCCTGGCTCCAGCCCTTTTTGTTTTTTATTTTGAGATAGGGTCTTGCTGAGTTGCTTAGGACCTTGCTAAGTTGCTGAAGTTGGCCTCAAACTTGTGATACTCCTCCCTCAGCCTTCCTATGCTTGGCTTGACTGGATCTTTGTATTTATTTTTTGTGGTGCAGGGGATGGAACCCAGGGCCATGTGTGTTCTGGGCAGATGCTTTGCTACTGAACTATACTACTAGCCTTGTTTGAATTTTTAAAATAGACTCACCTATGAATAAAAGTAACTTTTATTTAAATGAGCTTGAAAATCCCACACTATTTATGTAATACATATATAACTGGTCAGTTATGCACATATAACTGACCAGTATTATGATGTTAAGTTAAAGCTGTTAGAATAAGAAAGCTTTTTTTATTGTTGTTTTAGAAAAATAATTTTTCCATGATACAGAACTCAAAAGGAACAAAAGTGAATATTGTAAAAATTCTTCTACCTCTGATGAAGCCTAGCTTCTTTTTCTTTTATTTTTTTTTTTAATATTTATTTTTTAGTTTTCGGCGGACACAACATCTTTGTTTGTATGTGGTTCTGAGGATTGAACCTGGGCCGCACGCATGCCAGGCGAACGCGCTACCGCTTGAGCCACATCCCCAGCCCCTTTTAAAATTTTTTTTTATACATCAAAGTTAGCATGCTATATATACTGTCCTGCAGTAGGTTTAGTTTGATTTTTTTTTTTTTTTTTTTGTACTAGGGATTGAACTCAGGAGCACTTGACCATTGAGCCACATCCCCATTCCTATTTTGTATTTTATTTAGAGACAGGGTCTTACTGAATTGCTTAGTGCCTTGCTTTTGCTAAGGCTAGCTTTGAACTAGTGATCTTCCTGTCTCAGCCTCCCAAGCTGCTAGGATTACAGGAGTGTGCTACCATGCCTGTCAATAGGTTTAGTTTTGATGACACTATATGTAGTCTGTATAAGCACAAGCTCCCTATGCTTTTTACATTCAAAACTATCATGTTAGTTTATTCTGAAGAAATTCTACCAAAAGACCTTTTTAGGAAGTTATTTGTATTTTCTTTTTTTCTTTCTTTCTTTCTTTTTTTTTTTTGTGGGGCTGAGGATCAAACTCAAGGCCTAATCACATGTTATGCCAAGCACTCTGCTACTGAGCTACCTCCCAGCCCAAGTAGCTGTATATTTTAAAGTGAAGGATTGTTGAAATTTAGCAGAAACAGTTTCAGAGCTATCACTTCAAGGATTAAGTAAGCTTATTATTTTGCCTAGGATGCATAATGTTTTAAAGCACATTTCTGAAGCTTTAAAAATAGTTTATGCTTCACAGGTTTATAATTTATGTTGACTTCAATAAAACATATCCAACAGTGTAGTAGATTGGAAAGTGTGTGGAATTTGGAATCGTTATTTGAAAAACTAAAAGTTAGAAGGAAGATAATCTGGTGTGCTATTGCACAGTAGGGTAGCTATAGATAACTAATAGTCATGTACTGTATATTTCAAAAAGCTTTAAGAAGGATTCTTTTTTTTTTGAGATAAGGTTTTGCCATGTTGCCCTGGCTGGCCTTGAACTCTTCATCCTTCTATCTGAGCCTCCTGAGTAGATGGGATTATAAGCATATGCCACCTACCACACTTGCCTAGAAGGATTTGAAATTTTTCAACATAAAGAAATGATAAATGTTTTTGTTTAACCTGATTTAGACATTGCATATACACATATTGAAACATCATGTAGATGGTACCCCATTAATATGTACAATTTTCATGTTTTTCTATATCAGCTAAAATTAAAATCTAATAAATATATATACATACACATAGCTTTCTAAAAAAAAAAGCCTATTTGGCTTTTTGTTCTATCCTTACTGTCCTTACTGTTGTGTAATTTAGAGCGTAAGTTTTCTATTTTCTCTAAGGCTTAAGTGAGTATGAAAATACTAAAGAGTTAATTAAATGTTCTGGAACCAAGTGCTAAGTAACTGTAAGGATTATTATTGTTAATTCCATAATAACCGGATGGTTTGTGTTAATACTGTGTTGAAGTTGAAAAGATGAGCATTTATTTCTCTTTAATTAATCAATTAATGTATTTAATTTTGTTGCTGGGAATTAAACCCAGAGCCCTGGGCCTGCTAAGCATGTGTACTACTACTGAGTCACACTTCTGTCCCAGGAAATACTTCTCTAAGCTATGTGAATTAACTTATCTTTACATTTAGTAGGCAGGAAAATAAGAGCACGCTTGATGTTGAAGATAATGAAGAAATGCAAGAAGAGACTGATGATGGGCCATTGCTGGTTCCTCGAGTAAAAGTGGCAGAGGATGGTTCTATTATTTTGGATGAAGAAAGGTAAGTTAAAGAGATTTGTTGTGGTTTCACCAGAAAAAGCATGCTTTATTTAAGGAGAGGGATCCTATTTCTGAATCTGTCATTATCACTTATACCGCAGTGTTTATACTTATATCCTGAATGCTATAATCAGAAAAGTGGGTTACATTAATTCAAAACTTGTAGCTTTTTTTGTTTGTTTCTTTTGTTTTGAGAGGAGGGCCTTCTAAATTGCTCAGGTTGACCTCAAACTCGGAATCCTCCTGCCCCAGCTTGCTCAGTAGCTGGGATTATAGGCATGTGCACCCTGCCCAGGTCATTTTTAGCAATTTTTATGTGTTTTGTATGAGTTGATACTGTTGTTCTGTCATACATTAGTCTTAACACCATTGTTTTACTAACCTTACTGGTAATTGAGCTGAGCTGCTAAACTAATTATATGCTGTTCTCCACTGAGAATAGATTTCTAGAATTAACTTAATCTTGAAGTCAGTATTCAAGTTTTCGTGTAATTAATTAATACCATATTCTGGTGTACGATGATAAATAATGGATATACAATGAGACAGGTTTGACATTTTGGGAGTTTTCTTAAGGTGAGATTTTGTTTACTCTCCACTTTCACAGTTATAAAATTAAATTTCTCAGTTTGGCATTGCAGGATTCAGTTTTCTTTCTAAAGTGTATTTTTTAAAGAGGATATGCTATATTAATAAGTTAGTAAATATGAAAAAATGAAAAGTTTCTTGCCTAATTAATAAAAATAATTTTTTTCCCTCTCCCCGGTGCTGGGAATTTAACCCAGATACCTTCTACCACTGAGCTCTTTTTAAATTTTTTATTGTTTTTGGTACTGGGGATTGAATGCAGTATATCTACCACTGAGCTATGTTCCCAGTCCTTTTTATTTTTGAAACAGGGTCTTGCTTAGTTGTATAGGGCTTTGTTAAGTTGCTGAGGCTGACTGTGAACTTGCATCTTCCTGTTTCAGTTTCCCAAATAGCTGAAATTATAGGCTTGCATTATTGCTTTTGGTTTAGTAAAAAATTTTATAGCATTTAAATTTGGGTGGTGTGATGGTTTTCGTAATCCCAGCAACTCTGGAAACTAAGGCAGGAGGATCACAAGTTTGAACCCAACCTCAGTAACTTAGTGAGACCCTGTCTCAAAAAATAAAAAGGCCCAGCCATGCTCCTAGGTGCATGCTTGTAATCCCAGCATCTCAGGAGGCTGAGACAGGAGGATCGTGAATTCAAAGCCAGCCTCAGCAATGGTAAGTCACTAACCAACTCAGTAAGACCCTGTCTTGAAATAAAATACAAAATAGGGCTGGGGATGTGCCTCAGTGGTTGAGTGCCCCTGAGTTCAATCCCCAGTACCAAAAAAAAAAAAAAAAAAAAAAAAAAGCCCCAGCAGCTTGGGAGGCTGAGTCAAGAGGATCAAAACCAGCCTCAGCAAATTAGTGAGGCCCTAATCCACTCAGCGAGACCCTGTCCAAATAAAATACAAAATAGGGCTGGGGATGTGGCTCAGGGGTTGAGTGCCTCTGAGTTCAATACTGAGTACCCTCTGAAAAAAAATTTTAAAAAAATTTAAAAAAATAAAAAGGGGGCTGGGGATGTGGCTCAAGCGGTAGCGCGCTCGCCTGGCGTATGTGCGGCCCGGGTTCGATCCTGAGCACCACATACAAAGATGTTGTGTCTGCTGAAAACTTAAAAATAAATAAATAAAAAAAAAAATTAAAAAAAAAAATAAAAAGGACCAGAGTATGCATGTGTGAATATGTAACAACAAATCTCATCATTATGTATAGCTATAATGCACCAGTGAAAAAGTGTGGGGGAAAAAATGGCTCGAAATGTAGCTCAGTAGTAAAGCATCCCAGATTTAATCCCCACTACTTTAAAAAAAAAACAAACCAAAACAAAACCCCAACCAAAAAACACCAATAATAAAACTATGATGATGATGGAGCCAGGGTATCGGCTCAGTGGTAGAACACTTGCCCAGCATGTGTGAGGCCTTGGGTTCCATCCCTGACATCATATAAAAATAAACAGATAAAATAAAGGTATTTTATCCATCTATAAGTAAAAAATACTAATAATAGTAAAAAAAAAAAAGGAGTGGATTATCTAAAAAAAAAACTATGTTGATGAAACATGAATGTAATAGTGCTAGTAATAATAGTAATAATTTTGTTTGCTTTTTTCCATTAGTTTGTGATGGTGAGTTTACTGGTTGATAAAGAGTTAAAAATGTATTTAACTGCTTTGTTTGCACGCATGTAAAATATAAAATGCTTGTATTTATCAATATTCTCATAATGCCTAGCATAATAAATATGTATAGCCTATAAGAGGCATACAGAAGGCAACAAAAAATATTTTTTAGGTGCCTCAAAAATACTGAGCCATATCCCCAGCCCTTTTTATTTTTTTCTTTTGAGATATTGTCTTGCTAAATTGCTTGGGCATTGCTAAGTTGCTGAAGCTAGTTTTTAACTCGGCCTCCCAAGCCATTGGGATTACAGGTATGTGACCCTATAGCTAGCCTTTTTTATTTTTTTCCTTCTCTGATATTGGAGATTGAATCCAGGGTTACTCTGCCATGGGATATATCCCTAGTTATTTTATATTGGAATAGGATCTCACTAAATTGCTGGCCTCGAAGTAGTGATCCTTTTACTTTAGATTACTGAGTTGTTGGAATTACAGGTGTGTGCTACCATGCCTAGCTTAGTTGCCCCAAAGTTATTTTCTCAATTTTATATTATTATTGTGGATTTTGAAAACAGATTGGTACTTATTTATACTTCTTGGTAATCACATTATAAATAACAATTCGTTAGTCGGTAAGTATGTATGTCTGAATATCTATGTATTTCAAATACATATTATTGTCATTTTTGTTCAAATGCATAGTATACTTCTAAAGTATAGCTGTTTAAATCTCATCTACTATTTGTCTTTTTACTTGTTTTTATTTTGACTCTGTTTGAAAATGTGTTTCTTTCAGTTTAACTGTAGAAGTTTTAAGGACAAAAGGCCCCTGTGTTGTTGAGGAAAATGATCCTATATTTGAGCGTGGTTCTACAACTACATATTCCAGCTTTAGAAAAAATTATTATTCTAAGCCATGGTCCAATAAAGGTAACAAATTCTCATTAAAAATTGTTTAAGTTACTTACTTGAAATAAACTATATTTCTGGCTTAAATCAAATCTCTCTTAGGCGAAGTGAAATGTAAACTACCATGTTGTTTTCTGTCTAGCAAATTTTATTGACACCTCCCACCTGCTCCTACTGTGGAACTATATCTCTGGGTTTGTTTTTTTAATATGTTTATTTTTGAGTTGTAGTTGGACACAATACCTTTATTTCACTTATTTATTTTTATGTGGTGCTGAGGATTGAACCCAGGGTCTCGCACATTCGAGGCCAGTGCTGTATCGCTGAGCCACAATCCCAACCCTTCCTGATTTTAAATTAGAAATCTTTTGAAGAATTAGTTCTTTGGTCATTTTGTCTGAAATCTTCCTGTGTCAAATTCTACTACAAAGAAATACCATTTAAATGAAAAAAAAATCAACATTTCTAATGGTCATGATATCCTACTTACGATAATTTATCTAGTAAAGATTCTATTTTTTTTTCCCCCTCCTGTGTGCTAGGGAGTTGAACCAAGGACTTCATGCGTGCTAGGCATGCTACCACTGAACCATATCCCCAGCCCCCTAAAGTTATTATAGATAAAAATTAGGCTGTTAAAGTATATAGTACCTATTGCATGGTGATGCTTATTATTTACTTTTTATTATATAAACAATAGAGTTTTGGGAAGAAATTCAAACATGACAGAAGGATATAGAGCAGAAGGAAAGAGTCTTTACTTTCTTTCTCTGACTACCTTATTCCTATTCTCCTGAGGTGACTTATATCAAGTTTCTCATGTATTTTTTTTTTTAAGTTACTTTTTTATGTAGGACTTAGGACATCTTAGTTATGCACATACCCATTTCTGGCTATGACTTGACAGTTTTCTTCAAGGTATTTTGACCAGAGAACAATGTCTTATTAAAAAAATTCTGGCTGGGTGCAGTGGAGCATGACTATACTCCCAGAGACTTGGGAAGCTGAAATGGGAGGATTGCAAATTCAAGGCCAGCCTCAGCAACCTAGTAAGGCCCTAAGCAACTTAGGGAGACCCTGTCTCAAAATAAAAAATAAGGGCTGGAGTTGTAGCTCAGTGGTAGAACGTTTGCTTAGCATGTGTGACGAACTGGGTTTGAGCCTCAATACCACATAAAAATAAATAAAGTCAGTGTAAGACAAAATAAAAAAGGCTAGGAATGTGGCTCAGTGTTAAAGCACCCATGGATTCAAGCCTCTGTGCCAAAAAAAAAAAAAAAAAAAAAATTCTGGCTGGTTTGGTATGAGCATAAAAATTTCTTATTCTACCCCCCATTTTAATGTTTCAAGATATTTGTTTAGATATTCCATGACTCTCTTTTCAATAAGAAAGTATTGTGGAATTTATTTTTAACTCATAATATGTGCTATGTAAGATTTCTTTCCTCTGAAAATACTTTTTAATGATTCTCTATCTAATTTTTACAGAAACAGATATGTTCTTTTTAGCCATCAGCATGGTAGGAACTGACTTTTCGATGATTGGACAACTGTTTCCTCACAGAGCAAGGATAGAAATTAAGGTAAAGTAAACTCATAATATTTGTTGATTAGAAAAACTCAAAAGTTGCTAAATTTTTTTTAACTTTGGTTTTATTCATAATTCTTGATTTTCACAGTGATGTTTATGTTACATTTTCCCTTTATCGCCTGAGAAGTAAAGCAATATTTCTCAATTCTATCATTGGTAAAATCTTTTTTAGTATTACTCTACTTAATTTGATCAAGTCTCTCATGTATTTGATCAAGTTTCTCATGGACTTGAGGGTGTACCAGTAAAGTTACTGAAATTAATTAAGAGTTGGACAGTGAATGAAAAGAGAAGTTAAATATATAAGAACACCATTTTTGGGGGTAATGGAAGGGTTTTAATTTAACAACTTGTGCATACTGGGCAAGAGCTCTACCATTGAGCTCTATCCCTATCCTTAAGAGTAGCCTTTGGAACACAAAATATATTACTAAATTTTCTAAGACAGCATAAAGAAAAGAATGGCATTGTTAGCAGTAGCAGTGATGTCAATTATAGCTGTAACATTCCTGGGAGGACTTTTTCTTCATACATGTTTCCTGAATTGGAGAGCCTCTGCATGCTATTACTCTGTTGCTGTAGTACATTACCCAGTCATGGTCTTTGACCTTCATTTCCCACCCTATCATATTCATTACATTAATAAAAAATTTCCAATAGGAAAGATCATTTTTCCTTCTAGAACCAGATTAGACATTGATTGGTTGCCTGGGCACATTATATATAAAGTGCATTGTACAATATGATGAAATATCCTTCCTCACTGCATTATTGCATTTCTTCAAGAGATCTGAAACTGCTTATTCTGGTTGTTTTTTTTTTGTATCAGAAATTGAAGCCAGTGGTGCTTAACCACTGAGCCATATGCCCATCCCTTTTTATTCTTTATTTTGAGACAGGATCTCAGTAGGTTGCTTATGACCTTGCTAGATTGCTAAATTACAATTGAATTTGTAATCCTCCTGTCTCAGGCTCCCAAGTCCCTGGGATTACAGGCATGTGCCACCATGCCCAGCTCATTTTGAGATTTTTTTCTAATTTTATTTTATTTTATTTATTTTTTTTTTAAAGAGAGAGTGACAAAGGGGGGAGAGAGAGAGAGAGAGAGAGAGAGTTTTTAATATTTATTTTTTAGTTCTCGGCAGACCCAAATCTTTGTTTGTATGTGGTGCTGAGGATCGAACCCGGGTCGCACGCATGGCTGGCGAGCGCGCTACCGCTTAAGCCACATCCCCAGCCCTTTTTTCTAATTTTATTCATGAGAAGAATATTGGTTAATGGTTTGTATTTTTGTTTGTTTGTTTGTTTGTTTCTTTTTTTTTTCTGAATGCTGGGGATTGAATTCAGGACCTTCTACATGCTAAGTGTATGCTCTACTTCTAAGTCATATCTCTAGCCCTTGTAATTTTTTTTATATATATATATTTTTCAGTTGTAGTTGAACACAATACTTTATTTATTTACTTGCTTACTTATTTATGTGGTGCTGAGGATCGAACCCAGGGCTTCACCTGTGCTAGGCAAACACTCTATTGCTGAGCCACAACCCCATTCCCCCTTGTAATTTTTTTTTAATGTCTTTGTTTTATTTTGATATAAGGATTATAGAAAATGTGTTGGAAAATGTTCCCTTGTCTGCTTTCTGAAAGAATTTAAGATTAATATTATTTCTCCTTTAACATTTGATAGAATTCACTAGTAAAATCATCTAATCAGGTGATTTTCTTTGGAGGAAGACTTTAGATTATAAATTCAATTTTTAAAGTATCATTTAGGGCATTCCGATTTTCAGTTTCAACTGGGCACAATGGCATGTGCCTGTCTTCCCATATTTAGGAAACTGAGGCAGGAGAATTGATTTTGCCTAGGAGTTTACAATTAGACCCTATCCTTAAAAAAAAGAAAAGTTTCAATTTCTTGTAACAGTTTTAATGCTACAGGCATCAGATTTCATGCTGTCTCATTACTTATTTATCTTTATTTTTCCTTTTAGTACTGGGGATTGAACCCAGAGTCACTTAATCACTGAGCCATATCCTCAGCCCTTTTTTTATTTTTTATTTTAAGATAAGATCTTGCTAAGTTTCTTAGGACTTTGCTAAGTTGCCAGGGCTGGCTTTGAACTTGAAATCTTTGGTTCATCCTCTTGAGCTGCTGGGATTACAGGTGTGCACCACTAGGCCTGCCTCATTATCATTTTTAATGTTTGTAGGATCTATGGTAATAACCTTGTTTGAGAGTTTGTTTTCTCTCCCTCCTCCCCCTTATCCATATTACAAGTCTTTGTAATCAGTCAATTTGTGTTAATATCAGGGTTAACTTTTTCTTTCCTTTGATGGTACTGGGGTTTGAAACTTGGATCTCCAACATGTGAGGCAAGTGCTCTGCCACTGAGCTATATCCTGGCTTTTTTTTTATTACCAGGAATTTAACTCCAGGGCACTCAACCACTGAGCCACATCCCCAGCCCTATTTTGTATTTTATTTAGAGACAGGGTCTCACTGAATTGTTAAGTGCCTCACTTTTGTTGAGGCTGGCTTGGCACTCATGATCCTCCTGCCTCAGCTTCCCATGCTACTGGGATTACAGGCATGCATCACCATGCCCAGCTTCTATCTCAGTTTTTAAATTCCTTTTTTCTATTTTCTTTTGGGTTAATCAAATCTATTTTATCTGTTATATCATTTTTCTCTTTTTACTTTATACTTCACAGATAATAACCTTTTTTTGTACAAGGTATTGAATTCAGGGACGCTTAGTCACTGAGCTAGAATCCCAACCCTTTTTATTTTTTATTTTTGAAACAGGGTTTTAAGGCTTACCTTAGCTTGCCATCCTTCTGTCTCAGCCTCCTGAGTCTCTAGGATTACTAGTGTGTGCTACCATGCCCAACAACTTTTTTATTTTTTTTTAATTAGAGCATTATAGTTATACATAGTAGTTGAGTTCATTCTGACAAAAATTGTACATACATAGAATTTGTTTTTAGTTCCTGTTCTCTTTCTTCTCCTGTTCCCTCCCACTATCCTCCTTCCTGTAGTCTACAGGTCTTCCTTTTGCTTATCTATTTTATTTAGTTTTAACTGGTTCTTTCTACTTAAATATAAGGGTGAAATTCCCTTGGTATATGTTCACATAGTACTATTTTTTAAAGTTCCTTCCACATTTCCTTCCCCTTCCCCTCACTTCTCCCTCTTTCCTTCTTCTACTCTACTGATCATCTTTAAATCTTTATGATATTTGGTCTTCCTCTCCTTCATTCTCTTCTTTTGCTCTAGTTTGCACATATGATAGAAACATTTGATCCTTGATTTTCTGAGGTTGGCTTACACAAATAATAACCTCTTGCTGGGTGCTGTAGCACATACCTCTAATCCTAGTTATTTTGGAGGCTGAAGCAGGGGTTTACAAGTTTCAGACTATCCTGGATAACTTAGTGAGACCCTATTTCAAAGTAAAATAATAATTAAAAAAAGGACTGGAATATAGCTCAGTGATAAAGCCTTCTTGCTTTTAATCTCCAGTACCAAAAAACAAAAATAAAAACCCTCTCACAAATATACTTTTATTTGTTGCCAATCCCTGTGCTATGATCTTTAAAGTCCTTTTTTACTTCTACATGCCTTATAAACCCCATCTTATAATGAATTTAATGATTCTACAGTATACTTTTTGTTGGGTGTAGGAGGCTACAATAAGAGGATTGCACCTAGGTTGCTTGGGCAGGTTAGCAGGACCCTGTCTCAAAATAAAAAAAGGACCGAGGATGTACTCAGTGTTAATAGAGCACTTGCCCGGCATGTGGCATGTGTGAGGTCCTGGCTTCTGTTCCTAGTACTGCCAAAAAAAAAAAAAAAAAAAAAAAAAGGGAGTCTTTAGTTTTTAAGACATTTGAATAGAAAAACAAAGTTAGTCTTCAATATATTGAGTACATATTTACCTTTCCTAGTGCTTTTCTTTTTCTTTGTTTTGGTATTAGGGATTAAACCCAGGGGTACTTGACCACTTAGCTATATCCCCAGCCCTTTTTATTTTGAGACAGAGTCTCACTAAGTTTCTGAGGGCCTCAATAAATTTCAGAGACTGGCTTTGAACTTGTAATCCTCCTGTCACAACCTCCCTAGTTGCTGGGATTACAATCATGCTCCTGCCCGGCTCTGGTGATTTTCATTTTTTCCTGTAGTTCTGAATGAATACTGTGCCTTTTTTTTTTTTTAATTTTTCTAGTTGTAGCTGGACACAATACCTTTATTTTCTTTATTTATTTTTCATGTGGTGCTGAGGATTGAACCCAGTGCCTCACACATGCTAAGCAAGTGCTCTACAACCCCGGCCCAGTACTCTGCTATGAAAAAATTTCTCTGCTTTCAGTTACCAAAATGTTCTTATTTCAACCCTGTTGGTTTTTGTCTTGTTTTTTTTTTTTTTTTTTTTTTGTGATGCTAGGGATAAAAGCCTGAGTCTTGAGCATTCTAGATAAGCACTCTGCCCTGAGCTATATTCTAAGCCCTGCCTCAGCCTCCTCTTCCTCCTCTCTTTCTCCTCTTCCTCCTTACTATTATTATTACTATTATTTCACTATTGGGGATTTAACCCAGGGACACTCAGCTCCTGATCCATATCCCTCATTCTTTTATTTTTTAATTTGAGAAATAACAATAAGGAGGAGGAGCAGGATCAGAAACTTAGTATAAACCTTTCATCCTCATTTTAAAAAAGTGAACCTTAACTTGCCTTTTAGTGAAGGCATATTCAGTTAGTAGAGAATAGTATGTTATTCATAACAGTTTTATTTTATTATTTTTTTTAAGAGAGAGTGAAAGAGGAGAGAGAGAGAGAATTTTTTTAAATATTTATTTTCTAGTTATTGGCGGACACAACATCTTTGTTGGTATGTGGTGCTGAGGATCGAACCCAGGCCACATGCATGCCAGGCGAGCGCGCTACCGCTTGAGCCACATCCCCAGCCCAACAGTTTTATTTTAATGTTTGCTAATTTTAAAAATAACCTTTGCTCATTTAATGGGTGAAAATTACTGTAAGTTTTGTTTCTCTTAACAGAATAAATTTAAACGTGAAGAAAAGACAAATGGATGGAGAATAGACAAAGCATTTCGTAAGTATTTCTGACCTCTTTTACAAAATATCATTTGAAGAGGCTAAAAAATAATCCTCTTTGGCTGTAGGCATAATCAAAATTACTCTAAGATTTCATCTCACTTCTGTCAGAATGGCAATCATCAAGAATATAAGCAACAATAAATGTTGGTGAGGGCTGGGATTGTGGCTTAGCCGTAGAGTGCTTGCCTAGTACATAGAAGGCCCTGGGTTCGATCCTCAGCACCCCATAAGAATAAATAAATAAAATAAAGATATTAAAAAAAATGTTGTTGAGGATGTGGTGAAAAAGGTACACTCATACATTGCTGGTGGGATTGCAGATTGGTGCAACCACTATGGAAAGCAGAATGAAGATTCTTTAGAAAACTGGGAATGGAACCACCATTTGACCCAGCTATCCCACTTCTTGGTTTATACCCAAAGGACTTAAAATCAGCATACTATAGTGATGAAGTTATATCAATGTTTATAGCAGCTCAATTCACAATAGCTAGAACCAACCTAGGTGTCCCTCAATAGATGAATAAAGAAAATGTGGTGTATATACTCAATGGAATATTACTCAGCTTTAAAGAAGAGTGAAATTATGGCATTTGCCAGTAAATGGTTAGATTTGGAGAATATCATGCTAAATGAAATAAGCCAATCTCACAAAAAACGAAAGGCTGAATGTTTTCTCTAATATGCAGATGCTAATTCACAATAGGGTGGGGACACTGAGGAAGAATAGTATTACCTTAGATTAAGTAAAGGGAAGTGATGGGAGGGGAGAGGAGAGGATGTGAGGATAGGAAAAATAGTAGAATGAAATAGATATTATTACTGTATGTATATATGTGACTGTAACCAATATGATTCTGCAACGTGTACACTCAGAAAAATGAGAAATTATATCCCATCTATGTATGATAAATCCAAGTGCATGAATACATTCTAATGTCATGTATAATTAATTAAAACAAATTAAAAAATTAAAAATCAATTTATAGCTGGGCTTGTTGGCACAAGCCTGTAATCCCAGAGGTTTGGGAATCTGAGGCAGGAAGATTGTGAGTTTAAAGCCAGCCTCAGCAAAAGCAAGGTGTTAAGCAGCTCAGTGAGATCCTGTCTCTAAATTTAAAAAATTCAAAATAGGGCAGGGGATGTGACTCAGTGGTTGAGTGCCCCTGAGTTCAATCCCTGGTTATCCTCCCCATCCCCCCAAAAATGTCAATTTATAGCTGGGCGTGGTGGCACATGCCTGTAATTCCAGTGGCTGGGGCGGCGAATGAAGGGGGGCTGAGGCAGGAGGATGGCAAGTTTGAGGCCAGTCTCAGCAACTGAGCAAGGCTCTAAGCCACTTAGTGAGACCTGTCTCAAAATTGACAATAAAAGAACTGGGGATGTGGCTCAGTGTTTAGATGCTACTGGGTTCAGTTTCTGCTGTCCAAAAAAAAAAGAACCAGACATGTTTACACATAGTTAAAAGTGTAGTTCAAATTTTGACAAATAATATGTATGTAATCACCATCCCAAACATGTATGGACCTTTTTTTTTTTTTAAGATGGAACTTTTTTTCTTAACAAGGTCAGTTGGTTCCCTTTCAATCAATTGAATTCTGTCCTTGACCACAAGTAACCACTCTTCATTTGAATCACCATGGGTTAGTTTAAAATGTTCCAGAATATTTTATTCATGGAATCCTACAGTATGTACTGTTTTGTGCTTGGTTTCTTTTACTCCCTGTTTTTGAAATTAACTCATTTTGTTGCTTATATCACTAATTCTTTTTTTAAATTTTTAAACTAATAGTTTTTCCTTTCTACATGGTCTGTTATGTACTTGTTTATCCATTATTTTGCTGGTAAATAAACTTGCTTTTGCTAATGTGCTATTTTAAAAACCAGAAATTCTTCTTCTTTTTTTTAAAAAATAAATACTTGAAGGTTCTTTTCCATTTTTTTTTTTTAAACAGAGGAAAAGCGTCCTTTTGACTTCGATTTTTTTGCTCATTTGCTTCAGAAAGTTCTTGCTGAGGAAGAGAAAAGAAAACAAAAATCCAGTAAAAGTCAGAATTTAAAGGAGAAGAAATCCTCCAAACCACGGAAAACTGTAAAAGGTATTAATTTTATAAGAAAGTGTTCAGTTTTACTTATAAATAATGAACTTTCAATATTGTCTCTCAGGAATTGAGAATTTAGGTATAGCTCAGGTAGTTGAGATCATGAGGGAATCCAGTTGGACAGACTTAGTTTTTCTTTACTCAGCCAGTTGAGTGGGTCAAAACAGCAGTTCCTTATAAAATTTTATAATTGTCATGATTGAGCTATTTGACATCATTCTGGCAGTTAACAAATTTTTCTGGTTAATCAAAGAGCATCAGAGATTTTTAAGTGTCATGTTCTGTGTTTGGTTATTTATTATTATTGTTCTGCAAAACAAATATGCTATAAAATTATAATATTTAAAAGGTGGAACTCAGGGCTGGGGTTGTGTCTCAGTGTAGAGCATTTGCCTGGAATGTGTGAGGCCCTGGGTTTGCTCCTTAGCACCATAAATAAATAAATAAATAAATAAAGGTTAATTGACAACTAAAAAAATATATGTCAAAAAAAAAAAAGGTAGAACTCTAATATTTTGGGGGTTGTGACTATCTTGTATTCTTTGAGCATAGTTTAATTTCTGAAGGTTGACAGTGACTTGTACCAAGAAGAAAATTGCATTTGTGTGGGTATTTCTATTTTTAGGCTTTTATTTTATTAAACCTTTCAACTCTGGACTCTTAAGAATGATGTTCAGCTATAATCACATAATTTAAAGAAGCTTGAAACACATCCCAGGCCCCTTTCCATTGTTTTAATCACTGAAAAACAGCCCCAAAGATCCTACATAACTTTTTCCTATGCTCTCAGAATTTAAGATGGGGCAGAGGTAGGATTCAAGGTAGAATTGTGAGAGCCTGTGGTGGAGGTCTGCAAGACCACCACCACATTTTGTTATTGGTTAGGAGGACAAACAGTTTTCAGCACCCTATGTCTGACATATACCAAAATTCCAGACTACCAAAAGGAAGAGAGTTCATCATAAACCATATTATTTGTACAAACAGTTTAGGCACAGCAAGCCACTATTATCAGTTAGAGTAATAGAAACCTTCCCCAAACCATCGTCCTGGACATGTCCTAATAGCCAACTCCTAAGCAGACCTTTCAGAAGATGACAGTGAAACCTGTTGTATTAACTCTTCTCTGTACAAAGCCAATCTACAATTTCTTTTTCTAGAGTATGGTACCTCTATCTTTGATAACTGAAGTTACTTTATTCTTCTGGTAGCACTAAGATTGAATGTAAGGTCTTGTGCATGCTAGGCAAATGCTCTACCACTGAGGCGTACCCTCAAGACTTTTTTTTTTTTTAAGTTCATTTTGAGACAGGGTCTTGCTTAGTTTCCCAGGCTGACCTTTGAATTTGTGATCTCCTCCTGCCTCAGTCTCCTGAGTACCTGGGGTTACAGGTGTATGCCACTGTGCCCAGCTCATATTTCATTTATTAGCCAAAGAAATGTTTTTAAACTTACTATATTTAGCTTTAGGAGATTAAGATGTATTAATTCTTCTTTGATTTTCATGTAATTAACACGCATAACTCACTATATCTTATTTAATGTAAGAATTTTAAAGATACATTATTATAACTCAAAATTTAAAAATTTGTGGTTATTTTGACTGAATAAATCAAGTGAATCAATCAAGTGTTTTTTCTCAATTTTGAAATCTTCTTTTCACTTTGTTTTCTTTTTTACAGTCTGGGTTCTTTTTTTTTTTTTTTTTTTTTTTGGTACCAGAGAATTAACCCAGAGGCGCTTTACCAGTGAGCCATATCTCCCACTCTTTTTTTTTCTTTAAATATTTATTTTTTAGTTTCAGGTGGACACAATATCTTTATTTTATTTTAATGTGGTGCTGAGAATCGAACCCAGTGCCTCACACATGCTAGGTGAGCATGCTGCCACTTGAGCCATATCCCCAGCCCCTCTCCCACTCTTTTTCTTTTTCTTTTCTTTTTTTTTTTTTTTGAGACAGTGTCTTGCTAAATTGCTTAGGGCCTTGCTAAGTTGTTGAAGCTGGCTTTGAATTTGCAATTATTCTGCCTCAGCCTCCTGAGTCTGTGGGATTATAGGCATACACCACCATGCCTGGTTTATTTTCACTTTTTAAAAAATGTAAGTGAATGAAATTGAATTTTATTATATTTTGGGATTGGATATTTTTAAAGAAAATATCTGATCAACCATGGTTTTGAAGTTAAATTTGCTCTTGGTTTGGGTGTCTGTTTTGTGCTGCTGTAACAGAATACCTGAGTCTGAGTAATTCATAGAGAACCGTAATTTATTTCTCATAGCTCAAGAGGCTGAGAAGCTCAAGATCAAGGCACCTGTCATCTGGCAAGGGCCTTCTTGCTCCTTCATCACATGGTAGAAGGTCAAAGAGAGAAAGCAAGAGGGGAATGAACTTGGCTCCTCTCAATACTGGTTATTAATTTTTCTGTGAGGACAGCACTCTTGGTCTAATCACCTCATAAAGATGCCAACTCATGAATTGTTACAGTGACAGTTGAAATATTTCAACTTGAGTTTTTTGAGGATATTCAAACCAAACATACTATTTTTATGGTGATCTCTATTATTTTTTTCATTTTAATCTTTTGAAATAATTAAAAAATAATTCATGTTTTCACATATTTTATGCAGTTGACTATTAATATGTCTACTGCATAAAATTGCTAGTAGGTAGGGTACTAGCAATTATTTCCAAATATTTGTTAAAAATATTTTTCTTTGAATTGGGGGTAGTGGCACACTCCTATATCCCAGTGGCTTGGGAGACTGAGGCAGGAGGATTGCAAGTTCAAAGCCAGTTTTAGCAACTTAGTAAGGCCCTAAGCAACTTTAAAACACCCTAATCTCAAAAAAAAAAAAAAAAAAAGTGTGCATGTGGGGGACCTTGTGTTATTTACACACAGACACACACATATGCACACATATTTGTTGTTGTTTGTTGAAAAACAGAGAAAAAGGAAAAAATATGTGGAGGATTGGTCTCACAAAAATCAAAGTAATATCAGCTATAGAGTATAGGAAAGCGATCTGGAAGAGGGAGGGGAGGAGGGAAAGAGAAAATACTGGGTAATAATATTGGCCGAATTATATTTTTATATTGTGTGTGTATGAATATGTAACAACAAATTCAACCATTCTATACAATCAGTGCACTAATAAAAAATATGAAAAAAGCACAAATGAGTGAAGATTAAATTCTTTTTTAATTTAAAACACCTGCCTACTACCATAGGCAAGATTCTAGTTCAATCCCTAGCATTACAAAAGCAAAAAATACTCCCCCCTTCAAAAGAAAAATCCATATAGATTTTTCCAGGCATGGTGGCACACTTGGACCTGTAGTCCAAGCAATATGGAAGGCTAAAGCAGGAGGCTCCCAAGTTTGAGAATTATCTCAGCAATTTAGCAAGACCCTGTCCCAAAATTAAAAATAAAAAAGGCTAGGAATGTAGTTGAGTGGTAGAGTTTGATTGAACTAGGGGGATTGAACTCAGGGGCACTCAACCACTGAGCCACATCCCCTGCTCCATTTTGTATTTTATTTAGAGACAGGGTCTCACTGAGTTGCTTAGTGCCCTGCCACTGCTGAGGCTGGCTTTGAACTTGTGATCTTCCTGTCTCAGCTTCCTAAGCCACTGGGATTACAGGTGTGCACCAGCCTACCTTGCTGAAGATTAAATTTTTAACACTCTCTCCCACCTGTTATAAACATTTTTCTGTTCATATGTATGTGCTTATCTAAAGATGTATGTTTTATTAATAAAAATGGAATTAGAAATATACACATTTCTGTCATTTGATTTTTTTTAAATACAACAGTATGTTTTGAAATCTTTCACTTTACTGTATATGAACCCATCTTGTTATTGCTTTTGTGGATTATTTCGTGTTTATGTGGTGCTAGGGTTTGAACCCAGGGCCTTGTGCATGCTGAGTATGTACTTTATCATTGAGCTACATTCTACATGGATTTTTTTTTTGGTAGTGGGGATTGAATCCAGTGGTACCACTGAACTGCATTCCTAGCCTTTTTTATTTTTAATTTTGGGAACCAGGTCTTACTAAATTACTGAGATTATTCTCAAACTTGGGATCTTCCTGCTTCAGCTTTCCCTATCGCTTGGACTACAGGTATCTGCCACCATGTCTGGCCGTATTCTACCTGTGTTCTTTTACTGAACTATGCCCCCAGCCCATCTCTGCATGGATTTTTAAATCATGAATGTATTGTAACTTATTGGTTATTCCCTTTTGAATATTTTAGTTTTGTTCAATGTTTTGTTCACATAAATAGTATTATAGAGGATATCCTTGAGTATTTATTTTCTCTACCTTTAATAATTTTTTTGTAGGTTGTTTATATATTTATCACTGTTTCACTTATTTTCAGTGAGAAAAGTTATTAGTGAAGGAGTAAATGATGATCCTGATGAGTCTGGGAGTACTAAAATTTCAGATACTCAGGAGGATGCTCAGACAGTTGAAGAAGAGTCTCTGACTTTATCAGGACAAGATTTAGAACAAGTTGTATTAGAACAAGACCGAAATGAAAAGAAAAAGAGAAGGAAGAATCAAGATGATGCTAATGAACAGGAAGTAAAAACTCTTTTAGGAAATGCCAGTGTTCATTCAGTCCCTTTTAAAGAAGAAAAACACAAGAGTAAGTTTCTTATGCATTTTAATAGCCTTATATTACTTTAAGATGTACAATAATGTGGTATATAACAAGTACTTTTCTTTTGGATAGATTGAACAATGCTATTTATGTATGTATGTATGTATGTATTTATTTGGTACTAGGAATTGAAGCCAGAGGCCCTTTATCACTGACCCATGTCCTTAGTCTCTCTTATTGAGACAGGGTCTCACTAAGTGTCTTAGGGCCTCACTAAGTGGCTGAGATTAGCCTTGAATTCATAATTCTTCTTCTTCAGCCTCCCTAATTGCTGGGATTGTAGGTATATGCTATTGTACCTGGTTTGTTAACTGATCTGTACTGATAGTACTGTGTTAGGTATTTTTAAAAAATTTTTTTTAGATGTTGATGGACCATTATTTTATTCATTTATTTATATACAGTGGTGAGAATCAAACCCAGCGCCTGGCAAGTGCTAGATGAGCGCTCTTTTTTTTAAGTTGTAGATGAACACAATATCTTCATTTTTATTTATTTATTTTTATGTGGTGCTGAGGATGGAACCCAGGGCCTCACACATGCAAGGTAAGCACTCTTGCCACTGAGCTACAACTCCAGCCCCCAGCCTTTTGTAATATATATATATATATTTTTTTTTTGAGTGCTCTATTGCTAAGCCACAACCCCAGCCCCTGTGTTAAGCATTTTTATCTTTTAAAATTTATTTTTCAAATACAGAATGCTTTACAAATTTGCATGTCATTCATGTGTAGGGATGATGATAATATTCTTTGTATTTTTCCTGTTTTTAGTATATGTGCTATCAAAGCAAGAACCCTTTTATTTTTAATTAAATTAAAAAAATTTATTGTTAAAAAAAAAAGAGAAAAGCAGTCAGGCATGGTGACACATACCTGTAATCCAGAGACTCAGGAGATTGTGCTTGGCATCTGGAGGCTCTGGGTTTAATCTCCAACATGAAAAAATAAAAGCACATAATCAAGTAAAGACAGGAAGAAAAAGTTGTAGCAGACCAGAACAACATTTTATAGAATTTAAATATCATGCAGTTCATCTTCACTAATATGATTTTAATAAATTAATTCTGGTAGTTAAAGTAGTATGATTTTATAAGCCTAACAACATTATGCTTTTTTGTTGATGTTACAGAGACATTGCTTATAAAGCAGGAAAGATTACTGATTAAGAAATCAGATTTTAGAAGTTAAACAGACTTTGTTTTTTAATGCTAATTCTTGTATTTTTATTTTAGCTCTTGACATTGGACTATCATTAATATATCTGAACTCAGTTCAACAATGGTACCTTTTCATAGGATTTTTGAGTATTCAGTGAGATAATACATCTGATAGTTGCGTTCTTGCTTTTTAGTAAGTAAATGGTAGCTGTTACCTTATTATTAATTATTATACTTCTGAAGGAACAAAAGAACAACCAAGTCCACTTTTAGCTTCCCAACAAGACATAATAAAGCAAGTCATTAACCACTTAAAATTTAAGAAAGATACTGGGTATAGTGGTGTATGCCTGTAATCCCAGTAACTCAGGAGGCTGAGGTAGGAAGATCCCAGGTTTAAGGCCAGCAGCAGCAATTTGACAAGGCCATAAGATACTTGAAACGCAGTCCTTTTTATCTGATTTTGTGTCTCAAAAAAAAAAAAAAAAATATATATATATATAAAATTGGCTGGAAATATGGCTCGGTGGTTAAGAGGTCCTGGGTTTAGTCCCTGGTACCAAAAAAAAAAAAAAAAAAAAAAAATTCCCAGAAAGATAAGGGAAAATGCTACAAACTTCCCAGGAACTTGGGCTGATATTCAAAACACAAACCATTGTAAGTTGATTAAATTTTCATTACGTTCTAAAATAAGATCGTGTCTTACAAATAAGAAGTTGAATGTTGATTGAATTGTTTTATGGGTAAAAAAGAGTCTTACATGTAAATATTTTTGTAGTTTTAAAAAGGAAGGTGTTTGGGCTGGCATTATGGCTCAGTGGCGGAATGCTTACCTATCATGCATGAAGCACTGAGTTCGATCCTCAGCACCACATAAAAATAAAATAAAGGTATTATTGTGTCTACCTATAACTAAAATATATATGTATGTATATTAATATATCTGTATATTAATATTAATATATATATATATATGAAAGAAGGTGTTTGTGTTTTTGCTGTAATTTTTTTAGAATATCATGCACTTTATATTCATAGATAAAAGTCCATCTTCAAGGCCTGAAGTAAATGAAGGTGAAAGCAATAAGGAACAGAAGCTTCCCTGTGCACAGAACAGAGATGACATTGTGAGTTTAGCGTCTGGTGAAAAAGTTGAGAAGAGAGCTGACCCTGTCCTTTCAGAAAGGTATTTTCTATATCGTCACTGGCTTTATCTCATCTTTTGATGAGAGAGTAGTGTTGAATTCTCTAACTGTAATTGGAGATTTGTATTTCTCTTTTTCGTTTATTTATTTATTTATTTATTTATTTAAATGGTATTGGGAATTGAATCTGGAGGCACTCTACCAGTGAACTATGTAAACTATATCCCCAGCCCTTTTTATCTGATTGATTGATTGATTGATTTTTAGAGAGAGAGATAATTTTTTCTTTTAGTTTTCGGTGGACACAACATCTTTATTTTATTTTTATGTGGTGCTGAGGATTGAACCCAGCGCCCCGCGCATGCCAGGCTAGCACACTACCGCTTGAGCCATATCCCCAGCCCCACTTTTTATCTGATTTTGACACAGGGTCTGGCTGGTCTGAGAAAGATTCTGAGGCTGTTCTCAAATTACAGTCCTCCCTCAGCTTCCCAAGTTGCTGGGATTACAGATGTGTGCCAGTGTACTCAGCATAGTTCTGTTTGTTTTTATGTCATTTATTTGAAGCTTTGTTGTTAGTTGCATAAATACTGTATCATCTTGCTGAAATCTCTTATTATATACTGTCTTCTGCTGCCCCACTCCCCTTTCCTCTCTCTTTTTCAGTACTAGGGGGTTGAACCAAGGGATATTCTACCACTGAACTACACTTCCAGCCTCCCCGACTTTTTATTTTTCCCCAGGAGGTAGCCAGAAGTTGCTGTTTTATTTTCCTAGTTAAAGACATTTACTTAGAATGAAATGGGTTTCTAAATAATCACTTTCATTCTAAATGAGTCTACCTAGGAAGAAAAAGCTATTAAGTCATCAATGTACCTTCCCCACCCCCTTTTTTTTCTTTTTCTTTCTTTCTTTTCTTTTTTTTTAAAGAGAAAGAGAGAATTTTTTTTTTAATATTTATATTTTAGTTCTTGGTGGACACAACATCTTTATTTTATTTTTATGTGGTGCTGAGGATTGAACCCAGCACCCTGCGCATGCCAGGCAAGCAAGCTACCACTTGAGCCACATCCCCAGCCCATTTTTTTTCTTTTTATGAAATCATTTATTTATTCTAATTTGTTATACACAATGGCAGAATGCAATTCATTTCATATTACACATATAGAGCACAATTTTTCAAGTCACTGATTGTATACAAAATGTTTTCACACCATTTGTGTCTACCTACATGTACTTAGGGTAATGATGTCTAAGTCATTATACCATCATTCCTACCTTCTTTCCTCCTCCCTTCTCCTCCCTCCTCTTGTCCTTTTCTTTTTTCTTATTTATTTTTGTTTCAATTGTAGATGACATAATACCTTTGCTTATTTATCTTACATGGTGTTGAGGATCTAACCCAGGGTGTCACACATGCTAGTCAAGCGCTGTACCACTGAGCCACAACCCCAGCCCACCTCAGCTCTTTCTATTTAATTTTTAAAACATTTTGAGACATGCTCATATGAAGTTGCCAAAGTTAACTTTGAACTTGTGATCCTCCTTCCTCAGCCTCAAGAGTAGTGGAATTATAGGCATGCAGCACTGTGCCTGGTATTGGCTGATTCAGATCTTTTTTCTGACAATACTTTTGCCTTCTTTTGGTTAGTGTCTGCATGGGTTTATACGTGTGTGTGTGTGTGTGTGTGTGTGTGTGTGTGTGTACACGCTGGAGATCAAACCCAGGGCCCTACACTCTCTTATTGTTTTCTATAAAGATTTTCTTTTTGGGACTGGGGATACAGATCATTGGCATTGGTAGAAGGTTTTCTCTTTAGTTTCATCAGACAGAATGTGATGTTTCCTATCTTGTGTGTTCTAAAATGTAGTTTATTTTTGAGGGGGTGGGTGTCAAACCTACAGCCTTGTACAGTCTAGGCAAGTGCTGTTACCACTAAGTTACATCCTTTGCCCCTCTTAAGAAATTTTTAAGTGTATAATGAAGTACTGTTAATTATAAGAACAGTATAGTATAGCAGACTTATGACATTTTTTTCATCTTGCATTCTTGAAACTCGATTCATTGGATGGCAACTCCCTGTTTTCTCCTCATCCCAGCCTTGGGCAACCACCAATCTATTTTGTTTCCATGAGTTTGATTGCTTTAGAGACCTAATAAAAGTGGAATTATGGTGTGATTTTAACTTCTATGATTGCCTTATCTCACTTAGTTTACAAGCTTACTTTACTTAGTTTTCAAGGTTTGTCTGTGTTGTGCATATGGCAGAATTTACTTTTTATGCCTGAATAATATTCAGTTGTATGTATATACCAACATTTTCTTTATCCACTTATTAGTTAATAGATATTTTGGGTTGTTTCCATCTCTTAATTAGTGAGTTATGCAGTGAAAATAAAAGTGCAAAAAAGTTTTTTTTTTTTTTTTTTTGAGATCCTGATTTAATTAAAAGAACTCCAGAACTGGGATTGATAGATCATATGGTAATTCTCCTTTTTTTTTTTTTATTGGTCTCAGGATTGGTCTCAGGGATGCTTAAACACTGAGCCACATCCCTAGCCCTTTTTGGTTTTGTATTTTGAGACAATGTCTTGCTAAGTTACTTAGGGGTTTGCTAAGTTTCTGGGCCTGGCTTTAAACTTGTGAACCTCCTGTCTCAACCTCCTGAGTCACTGGAATTATATGCATGTGCCATTGAGCCTGACTAATTTTAGTGTTTTGAAGAACTCTCCATACTGTTTCCAATACCTGATATTCCAATTTATGTTCCTACCAACACTTTTATTATTAAGGGTTCATTTTTATATATCCTGTGACTTTTTTTTTTAATCTTTTATTGAGTTTTTTTGTAAATAGCGTCCTAACAGGTAGCCAGTGATACCTTGTTTTGATTTTCATTTTCCTGATGATTAGTAATATTGTACCCCTTTTCATATACCTTTTAGCTATTGGTGTTCTTCTTTGGATAAATGTCTGTTAAATTCTTTGTCCATTTTAAAATTTGTTTATTTTTAGCTTTGTTCTTTTTCAAGATTTCTTTTTTAAAAAATGTATTCTGCTTGGATTCTCTGATCTTTTTGGAATTGTGATTTGAGTTCTTTTCATAATTGAGTTCTTTTCATATTCTTAGTTATTATCTTTTTCTCTGCTGTGGTTTAAAAATATATATACACGCATATGTATATACTAATTTATATATATGTAATATGTATATATGTGTGCGTGTATGTATATGTGTGTGTGTATATATTAGATATATTAACCATTTTTTGTTGTTGTACCAGGATTGAACCCAGGGCATTTAATCATTGAGGCATATCCCCAGTCCTTTTTTATATTTTATTTAGAGACAGGGTCTCACTGAATTGCTTAGGGCCTTGCTAAGTTGCTGAGACTGGCCTTGAATTCATGATCCTCCTGCCTCAGCCTCCCAAGCCCCTGGGATTATCATTAAGAGTTCTCTCTCTCTCTCTTTTTTTTTTTTGGCCAGCTATTATACTTAAACCTCCCAGTCAATAGCTTGCCTTTTACTTTACTTATAGAGTCTTTGTTAACAGAAGTTATTTTTTTCCAAGTGTTAAGAAACCCTTAACATCGCAAAGATATTTTCCCACACTACTTTGCCTGGCTGTGTGAACCCATTTTTAATCTTTTATTGAGTTTTTTTGTAAATAGCGTCCTAATATAGTTCAGTAGCATTAATTACACTTACATTTTTGTGTACCAATCACCATTTCTAAAACCTTTTTGTATTTTCAAACCAAAATTCTAAGTTGTGCAGTAATTCCCATCTACCCTAAACCCTAGTAATCTCTAATCTGCTTTTCCTCTTTATGAATCTACCTGTTCTAGAAACTTGTCTACACTACATTTCAGTGTAATCATACACTATTTCTCAGTTGTTTGTTGTTGGTTGACAGTTTATACCTCATTTTTTTCTTTTGAGGTATTGAGGATTGAACCCTAGGCTTCGAATATGCTAAGAAAGCACTTTACCAGTGAGCTATACCCCTAGCTCTTAGTTTATAATTTAAAGTGTGACTTCAAAGATAAAACTAATTTCAGAAATTATGCACAAAACCATACCTATGACTTATTCTGTGATAGGAACAAAACAACAACCTTGTAATAACTGTTAAAATCCCAACAAGTTTTGGAAAACAGTAAATTGATTGAAAAATTGTCTGCAAAAGCTATGAATTATGAATGGTAAAGAAAGTTTTGAAAAACAGCTGTGGAGAGGGAATATATTAAGGCTTATTCTAAAGCTAGATTAAAGCACTGTGATACTGATAACAGGCATAGACAGATTTACTCAGTGGAACTGAATGTCTAATGTAGGAAAAGACATTTGGGAATCTTTTATGGCAGAGGTTGCTTTAGAAATGAGTGGGCAAAGATTAAACTAACTATTCATTAGGTGGTGCTGAGATATGAAAAAGATAATATTATATCCCTATTTTGCCCTGTCAAATTTTAACTTCCGGATGAATTAAGGACTACACATATAAGAAAATATCTTTAAAGGTTTTAGAAGAAATGTGGGAAATATCTTTGCGATGTTAAGGATTCCTTAACACTGGGAAAAAATAACTTCTATTAACAAAGACTCCATAAGTAAAGTAAAAGGCAAGCTATTGATTGGGAGGTTTAGGTATAATAACTGGCCAATAAAAATATATAGGGAACTCTTATTTATTTTTTTTAAAGATTGATGTGATTTTTTTATACCTTTATTTTAGATAAAAATATTTATTTTTATGTGGTGCTGAGGATCAAACACAGCACCTCGCACATGCTAGGCAAATGCTCTACCACTGAGCCACAGCCTCAGCCCCTGTAGAGAACCCTTAATGAACTCTTAATAATACATCAGGAAAAGAGAAACACCTAGTAGAAAAAATAAGCAAAAAAATAAATAAAATAAAAAGACTGAATATGTGTTGAAACAGTGCTAGGTAATATGTGACTATCAGTTATATTATTGTTAGTTGATATATTTCATAATAAAAAATAATCTTTGCTTTCCATAGTAGTGTTAACTGCAATTTGTGCTTATGTAAACTGTGTCCTCCTTTTATATGACTTTTGGTTAACAGTCCCATGCAAAGCAAGGACTGCCTATATAAAATTTTAATGAAAACTAATTCCTAAATATCATTATAATTTTACACACACATTTGATTTGTGAATCCCTTTGAATTATAGTTTTTGATTTTGACACTTCTTGAGTTCTCCTAAGCCTATTGGTGGTATGTGGTGGTTACTTTCTCTGAAGGTACAGGTCTTTATAACATTATGCAAGAAGTATCATAGAAAAGCCAGCATAGCTTGTGCTTATTCCATAATGAGGGATAATTTCCCAAAGTATTGGTGTTATCTATTAAAAAAATTTTAAATAGTATGAAATAATGTATTACTAGAATTTTTTTTTTTTTTTTTTTGCTAATGTGTCTTCATTTCCTTAGTAATCAACAAGATACCATGCCAGTAGCAACTGAGTTTTCAGAATTAAGCACTTCAGATTTGCCTCCATCAGAAGTTGGAATTAGAACATCATGTGAGGTGAATAATGCTGAGAGTAGTACAGGAGAAAGAAATGTTGACCTGAAGAATAAATCACTGTAAGTATTTTATATGATAGGATTTTTCTTTTCTTCATATTTTAATAAGGTTCTCAATTTAAAAAATTTTTTTTCCTGTCTTAGTAATTGAATCCAGGGCTTACAAGTGCTAGGCAAAGCTCTACTATTGAGCCAACCCCCAACCCTTAATAGCATTCTTAAATTATAGCATCATTTTATTTAGGAATTACAAGGGGGGCTGGGGATGTGGCTCAAGTGGTAGCGCGCTCGCCTGGCATGCGTGCGTCCCGGGTTTGATCCTCAGCACCACATACCAACAAAGATGTTGTGTCCGCCGAGAACTAAAAAATAAATAAATATTTTTTAAAAAATGTTTTTACTATGGTAAAAAATAAATATTTAAAAAAAAAACAAGGGATTATTAACATATAGACCATTTATTTTATAATTTAACTGTGGTCTTGTTAGTGTTATATCAGGGTTTTTTACTTTATATTTCATTATACAGATTTTCATATTTGATGTATGAGCTTTCAGCAAGGTGGTAATTTAGCAGTGAACTTCTAAAATAGTTCAGAGGATTAAATATTTGCTATGAGATTTTACTTGTAGTGGTTTGAGTTATTTTTATTTTTTTCAAAAATAGTAGCTTTTTTTTTTTTTTAAATCAGAAGTTGAACCCAGGACAATCTTCTTCTGAGCTAAGTCTCCACCCTTTTTATTTTGAGACAAGCTCTGGCTAAGTTTCCCAGATTAGCTTTAAACTTGGAAACTTCCTGCCAAACATCCCCAGTTGCTGGTGTTACAGGCATGGACCACAATGCAATAGGTACATTCATATGGTTCAGACATTAACTGCTATGAAATGGCTAGGCCGTGGTGATGGCACATGCCTATAATCTTACTAGCTCCGGAGGTTGAGGCAGGAGGATTGCAAGTTCAAAGTCAGCCTTAGCAACTCATCCATATTACTTCTATGGTTTAATTTAAATCTTTTGATCTACTTCACATATATTGTCAGCACAGTATAAGAGATGATGCTTGTTTTATTTTTTTTCTCAATGTTATTCAGTTTTTTCATCATTTATTTAATTTTATCTAGTATATTTTTTAAACACTGTATTTTGTATTTCACTTTTTCCTCACTGTTTTGAGATGCTACCTTTATTATGTGTTAAAATATACATTTTAGAATCAGTGTTTGGAATTTGTTCCATTTATCTGTTTACTCATATGTTAATACCACTACCTGAATTAATTATTGATGCTCAGCAGTATATTTGTCACATCTAATAGAACAAGTTAGTCTCTCAATTTTCTTTGCCATTTCTATAGTAAGTAAACTTTCAAAGAAATTCTTTCTGGTTCAGAATTTTACTTGAACATAACTGCATGTTGCTTACAGTTTAAGTAATTTTTTTAGGGAGACGGATCCGGCAGAAAATGTAAAACCAATTTTGAGAGGTCGACTCCAGAAACCTAAACCGAATCTATCAAGAGCAGTTGGGAAGAAATCAACTCGTTCACAAAACAAAACAGATGCAGAGAGCAAGAGTTCATGTTCAGAAACTTCAGTTGAGAAGGTATGACATAGGAGACATACTGGAATTAAAATTATAAAATAAAATTTTTTCCTAAGAAATTGGTAATAAAAATATTCACCTTGTGGGCTGGGATGTAGCTGAGTGGCAAAGTGTCTGCCTTGCATTCTCAAAGCCCTGGGTTCGACCCCCAGTTCCAAAAAAGACAAAAAAAAAAAAAATTCACCCTGTAATTACAGATGACTGTTACTGATATTAAAACCAATAAAATAACTTACACATCAACATTAGTTAGGTTTGTTTCTATCTTATTAGTCTCCAGTTTACATATTTTTTTAATTATATATTTTTTAGTTGTTGATGGAGCTTGCTTTATTTATTTATTTATAGGTAAGCACACTACCACTGAGCTACAACAGCAGCCCTTTGATATATTTTCTTTTTTAAAAAATTTCTTTTTAGTTGTTGATAGAACTTTATTTATTGACATGTGGTGCTGAGACTTGAACTCAGTGCCTCACACATGCTAGGCAAGTGCTCCACCACTGAGCTACAACCCCAACCCCTCTTTAATACATTTTCTTTAGAGCTAGGGGACTTATCATTTGAAACATCCTCAGTAATGATAAATCTTTTGTTTACTTACATAAAAACTTTAAAAAAAATATTTCTTAAACCGTATATACATTATACCCATAGTACTTTTATGTGAATATAGGCAGTCACATTCCTATTTGTACTTTATGAACTTTCTCTGTGTATGAAAACATTTCTCTAGTGCCTAGCCATGATGAGTACAATAGTTAAAACATTTTTTCTCTGGAGCTATTCATATATATATTCTTGGGTCTGATTGAACTTTTAAATAATGTATTGGGCTGAACATTGTAGCACACTCCTATAATCCCAATGAAGGCTGAGGTTGGAGTATTGTGAGTTCAAAGCCAGCCTCAGCAACTGAGCAAGGCTCTAAGCAACTCAGTGAGACTCTGTCTTTAAATAAAATATAAAAAGAGCTGGAATGTGCCTCAGTGGTTAGGTGCTCCTAGGTTCAATCCCCGGTACCACAAAAATAAATAAATAACCCAAAATGCATTGGATTAACATTATTCATTTACCTGATCATTTCTCTAATGGATTATATGATTGTTTTGTTTTACTTTAATTTTTAAAAATAAAAGTAAGCAATTTTGTAAGTAGGGTTTTCTCTTCTTCTTCCTTCTTCCTTCTTTCTTCTTTCTTCTTCTTCTTCTTCCTTTTTGTTTTTGGTACCAGGTATTGAACCCAGGGGCACTTAAGCACTGAGCCACATCCCCAGCCCTATTTTGTATTTCATTTAGAGACAGGGTCTCACTGAGTTGCTTAGCGCCTTGCCATTGCTGAGGCTGGCTTTTACCTTGTGATCCTCCTGCCTCAAGCTCCTGAGCCGCTGGGATTGCAGGCATGGTGTAAGTAGAGTTTTCTTAAAGAAACGATATTTTTATGGGTCATGGGGATTATATTATTGATTCAAATTAAAATATTTTTATGGTTCTTATGCATTGTCAAAGAATCTACATTGCTGTTAGCATTGAGTGAATGTTCCTGTTTCCTTCTGTCTGAGAATTATATTAGAAAAATTTAATTTTGGCTAAATCGCTTTTTAAAACATTGGCCAGCTTTCTTTCTTCAGTACTGGGAATTAAATCCAGGGCCTTGAACCACCAAGCTACATTCCCAGCCCTTTTTATTTTGAGACAGGTTTTTTGTAAGTTATACAGGCTGGCTTCAAACTTGTAATCCCTTCTACCTAGCTTCCCAAGTAGCTGAGGTGGTAGGTGTGTGCCACCATGCCTGGCCATTGATCAGTTTTGATTAGTTATTTTCTTTCTTAAGTGAAGTATCTTTCTTAGCTTTTTTGTGGGGGGAGGGGAGATGTGTGTTTTTTGTACAGCTATCTTATCCTAATCTTAATAATAGGATTTTATTCTAGAAAATTTGGAAAATACAGGTTGATTTAAAAATCAAAACAAAAATAAGTTGTAATTTCATTATCCAGATGCAACCAGTCTTTTCACATTATCATCCTAGGTTTTCTTTTATAAAATTGAGTAGTGATATGAATTTAATTTTATATCTTTTGGTATTTTAACATTTCACAAATGTTTTTTTTTTTTTTTCATATCATTAAACTTCTGAAAAACATGTTTTTGCTGGGCATGGTGGCACACACCTGTAATCTCAGCTACTTGGGAGGCTGAGGCAGGAGGATTGGAGGTTCAAGGACAGCCTCCCTAAGCAGCTGATCGAGACCCTATCTCAAAATAAAAAATAAAAAAAGGGCCAGGGAAGTGGTTCAGTGGTAATATTCCCTGGGTTCAATCCTCTGTACAAGGCAAAAATGAAAACATGGTTTTTAGTGATACTCTTACAGTGGTGTGTAATCGAACTTATTTAATTATTTTCTCATTTTTGGAAAATTTGTCTGTCTGCAGTGTTTGCTATTTTATTTAATGTTGCATTGAACAATCTATTGTGTAGATATTTTTCCATTTATTTTCTTAAAAGTCTTCACAAGATATTACTGAGTCAAAGAATATGAACATTTTCAAGACTCTTCAAATTGAAAAGGGCTGTTAATGAACGAGATTATTTGTTTTATAATATTCTCATTTGCATTTAGGATTATTAGAAAATCTTTCCTGGTGTAAATACAAAAATGCAATTTCATTGTTTTAATTTTCATTTGTTTCTAATACAATTTGAACTTTTTAATAATAAGTAGATTAACTCTAAAAATTAAATTCACAGAAGCACATGGAAAAAAATGAAGTGAATACAGGTGACTGTTTTGAAATGGAGAATAAAGAAAGAAAGAACCTAGAAGCTGAAACTGTATCTAAGTAAGTACTTAGAAAGTAATATAAAAGTAGTTAACTTTAGGAATGATTCTAATCACTTGTTTTCTGCTTGATAAGCTCTATTAGTATTTTCATCTAATTTAAGTCCATTTTCAACTGTAGGTGGTGATGAAACATTTTAATAATGTTTTCTATGCTTCACATCATAAATACAAATTAAGGCTTGGACCCATTGAATTAGCAATTACATTTGTAATTTTCACAATGTATTGTTAAATATAGGAATGGTTAAGATAATATTTTTGGAAAATTTTATAGTAAGGGATTTCAGAAGGGAATATTTAACTTAATGTGGAGAACCATAACAACTCCACTCCAATGTGACTTTAACCAGTAGGTTCTGGGCTATTTCAGGTGGTCCAATTTATACTATAATTTGGGACTAATATCCTGGAATTGTATAACATATAGTAGTATTCTGTATGAGGCATACTAGTATCACATCCTTGATTGATGTAGATTTTTCCAGTTTTTTTTTCCTTCTTTTTTTGTGATGCTGGAGATTGAATCCAGGACCTGACGTAAGCTTCAGAAGTGCTCAACCACTGGGCTACCTCTCCATCCCATTTTTATTTGATTTTGAGACAGCATTTTATCAAGTTGCCCATGCTACCCTTGAAGTTGCCATCCTTCTGCTTCACCTTTCCAAGTAGTGAGGATTACAGGTGTACACTACCATACCTGGCTGACCAATTTTGTAATGAAAAATTGATTTAAAAATCTTTTTTGTAGTCAGGCTTCCAGGATTATATCTGTTCAAAAGAGTAGGGAGTAGATGTATGAATAACCTTGAAGATGTTCTTGAGGATACCTGTGAATTATTTTATATTCTGAATGGTTTTCTCATTAATATCGTGGAGAAGGAAATACTAAAAAACAAGCAGTTTGTGACTTCAAAATAAACATTGATTTTATTTTTTTGTAGTTCTAGTTTGAGTGACAAATCTTGTCTGCATGAAGATAATCACCCAAAGGCTTTTAGACCGACACGACCAATAAGGGGCCGATTACCAAGGCCAAAGCCAAATATAGGGAAAGCTGCAGAAAGAAAAGAAATTCTTGGATCACAGGAAAAAGTTGGGGCTGATAGGGAGAATAATGAAAATGAGTCCTGTGTTGATAGAGAAGTAAGTACTTTGATTTTTTTTCACATTGTGTTAAGTAAGTACATAGTCTTAACATAAATCTCTCATTCCTTTTAAAAACAACAAATGGCTAAATAGTTTGTGTTGCATTGATTATTAAGTTTATCGTCAAAATTTCATAGATACCAGTTTTGCTAACTGTAAAGCCATTTTAGATTTTGATCATTGACATGATTTGTAATTTGCTTTCACATTCCCTCATATTTGGACTTGCTTTTTTCCTATTACTCAACGAATTTCTGAATTACCCTTTCCATTTGAAAAGATAGTTGAATGAGTAATTTTAGTATTGGCTCAAATAGAATAAGATGTTGAAAGTTTCCCTCTAAACCATAATTCCAGGAACAAAGATCATGAATTTTAGATTATTTACATGGTCTTTATAAGAAGGTTGGTATGATGTAAGATTTGGATTTTGTCTGTTGTAATTTATCTGGTTGTAATGCAATTATAATAAATATAAAGATTCAGAAAGAGAGACACCATGAAATAATTCTCACAGATCGGCCTAAAATAGTTACTTGCTTTATGATTTGGCAGAAAAGAATGGGAGCTTTGAGATAAGGTAAAAGTTGTGGCTTATGAAATTTTTCTGAGATACCTAAAGAAAATACATTTAAAAAGAACCCTTTGAATTTCATTTTATAGTTTTGAAGTTTTTTCATTTTTCTCATATAACACAAAATATTCAGTGCAATTTTTAAAAATTATCTTTGATTGTGAAAACTAAAATGTTAAAAAATTTTTCTTTGTTATTAAGATTCCTCAACAAATAGAAGATCAGTCATGTAAAAATTTCAATAGGGAAATGTCACATGTCATATCACAACCTGAGAGAAAAGATTCTTCTTTTCAAAAAGTGGAACCAGATGAGCCCAAGACTCTTAGTGAATGTCTAAGGTAAGCATCATTTTATTGATGATGTAATTTTTGAATTTTGTATAGTTTTTTTTTTTTTTTGGTACTAGAGAATTAACCCAGGAGCATTTTGCCACTGAGCTACATCGTACCCAGCTCTTTTTTTTTTTTTTTTTTTTAGTATATATTTTTAGTCGTTGATGGACCTTTATTTTCCATTCATTTATTTATATATGGTGCTGAGAATTGAACCCAGTGCCTCACACATGCAAGGCAAGTGCTCTTCCTCTGAGCTACAACCCCATCTCCCCATTTATTTTCTATTTTGAGACAGAGTCTCACTAAGTTGCTTAGGGCCTCCCTAAGGACCTGTGGCTGCCCTTTCATTTCAATCCTCTTGTCTCAGCCTTCTGAGTTTCTGGGATTACTAGTGTGCACCACTGTGCCAAGCTTAATTTTGTATGGTTTTAGAACTTAATCAGTTCTTTTAGACCAAATCTGATTGGATTTATTTTCTGTGTGATAAGTACAAGTCATAAAATGTTCAAAGATATTTCAAAGTACAACTTGATCTCCAAGGAACTTTATGTCATAGCTTTTATTTTGACTTCTTAGTTATTGGTGGCTTGAAAAGAGTTACTTACCATAAATTAGAATTTGTATTAACTTGAGTAGCTTATCACTTAATATGCATATTAAGTTAAATGCCTGTATTTAAATATGTAAATGCTATTTTTTTTAGTTATAGATAAACACAATACCTTTATTTATTTTATGTGGTGCTGAGATCAAACCCAGTGCCTCAAACGTGTGAGGCAAGCACTGTACCACTGAGCCACAACCCCAGCCTACAAATGCTGCTTTTTTTAAAAAAATATTTATTTATTTATTTTTAGTTTTTGGCGGGCACAACATCTTTGTTTGTATGTGGTGCTGAGGATCGAACCCAGGCCGCACGCATGTCAGGCGAGCGCGCTACCGCTTGAGCCACATCCCCAGCCCCTACAAATGCTATTTCTTATTTTTTTTGGTATTTGATTGATCACATATTACTTTTATTAAGATTGATATAGGGCTGGGGCTATAGCTCAGTGGCAGAATGCTTGCTTTGCACATGTGAAGCACTGGGTTCAATCCTTAGCACCACATAAAAATAAACAAAATAAAGTCATTCTATCCATATACAACTACAAAAAAATTTTTTTTAAAGATTGATATAAATTTTATGTAGAACTTATTAATGAAAACACATCTGTTTTTTAAAAAGTATTTATTTGTTAGTTTTAGGTGGACACAATATCTTTATTTCATTTTTATGTGGTGCTGAGGATTGAACCCAGTGCCTCTTGCATGCTAGACAAGTGTTCTACCTCTGAGCTACAACACCAGCCCAAAACCCATACTATTTTGTCGCCAAAGTTTTTATTTCCCCTCAGAGGGTACTAAACCACAGTGATGGATTTATTAGTATACCTTGAAAATTTTTATTTTGGGAATGGTTAATGCACACAGATGCAGAGAGAACAATAATGGACTCCCATGTATACACTGTCCAAGGAGATAGGGTCTCATCAAGTTGCTTAGGGCCTCACTAAGTTGCTGAGGCTGGTTTTGAATTTGTGATCCTCCTGCCTTCACTTCCCAAGTAGCTGGGATCATATGTGTGCACCACCATATCCAGCTGCTGTGCTTTGTTACACCAATTTAAATGTATTTAAACCTTTATTAAAACAGAAAAATTTCTGTATTTCTTGCTTCCTCTACTATTTTTGCTTCACCCCTCAACTCTTTCTCTACCAATGTGCCACAGAATTTTTGAGTAGGAACCTGTCCAATTATATTACTTGTTATGTATCAGATTTTATTTATAGGAGACTGACAGGTTGGAGCCTGCATTCAACTGAAAAAAATGTAAATGAAAAAAACATTTAAAAATTAATGTAGGGCTGGAGATATAGCTCAATTGGTAGAGTGCTTGCCGCATGCAAAAGGCCCTGGGTTCAATCCCTAGCACCACACATAATAATAATGTGGCGTAGTAGAAAATTAGATTTTCTTTGGGTGCCTCCGAGTTTCAGAAAACTGGTAGATATTGTTAACACCAGTACACAATTTGATCTCAGCAACTTCCCTCTCTACAGGTAGCTTTATCATATGACTTTTCTGACTTTCTGGATGTCCAGGATCATTAAAAAAAATTCTAAAATTCTGTGTTTTGTCAAATCATATATCTCTTTGTATTTACTAGGCAGTTTTCCCTTTCCCCTACTCTGAACACTGTGGCTTGTTCAAGATGCTGTGTAAGAGAAATGGATAATGTATTAAAAAATTCTTCGCTAGATAAATTAGTGAATGTTTTTTTCAAACAATCTTCTAGACAATTATGTATCTTTTATATAAGTATTGGGGCTTGTGTCATGATTGATGATTTATCTTAAGGAGGCATGCAAATGTTTTGTAGATTCTTAACTCTACATTTTAGAAAAATACAATGTGGACCTGGAAGTAGATGTATAATTTTGTGCCTATCCTTTCTTTAGTCATGATCTCCTTTGTTTGCTTTTCTTCTTAAATTCTGTGATCTGTGGAGAGAATACAATATCCATTGTATATTTTAATTTGAGAAATATTCTGAATTAACTACATAACTGAATTCCAGTCTCAAAAACTGCCCTTCAGTTAATTATGCAGCTGATATGAATTCTATGAAAAAAGGTCTGTGTTGCTCATCATTGTATTCCCAGTTCATAGGTACTTTCTGGCATATAATAGGACTTAGAAATATTTGTTGACTTATTATTCATGAACTCAGTGAGTTATCATATATCATATTTTTTATCCATAAAAATAAACTTATAAAAGTCCTTTTATTATATAAAAACAATTTCAGCTATTTAAGCACAATTATAACATTTCATGTTTGTATCTTACAATTTGAATTGATACTGAAATAGGGAAACTACCAATAAAGTATTTGCTTATTAATGCATTTATATGTTTAAAGGATAAACCAGTGTTGAAAATAAGACTTTATAAAAATTCTCTTTTCTCATGATTCTCAAATCATATTCCTAGCAAAGTAACCTCAATAAAAGCTAGGTGTTTTTGGATGAAGATAATCAAAAAATGCAGTAAGGGCCTGCAGTTTTGGCTCAGAGGAAGAATGCTTGCCTAGTGTGCTTGAGGCACTGAGTTCAATCCTCAGCACCACATTAAAATAACATAAATGTATTGTGTTGCCTTACAACTAAAAAAATATTTATCTATCTATTTATTTATTTATTTTGTGGTGCTAGGGATTAAACCCAGGGTCTTGTGCATGTGAGGCAAGCTGAGCTACCAACTGAGCTATATCCCCAACCCTTAAAAAATAAGTATTTAATAATTAAAAAAAAAAAAAGGAATGGAGTGAAATCCATCCAGGATTAACCACGTTAAATTTCCTTTGTCAGTTTATATTAAATTTTGCATTTATTGTTCACTAAAGTTAGTGATAGATATAAATACCTCAGTTATATAAACAAGTACAATTTGAAAATCAGTCTATTTCCTAGAGACTTTTTTAAGTAAAAAATCACATTATAAAAAAACAGATATTTTAGTGAAGAAAGTTTAGATCCTACAAAAATTTGTGCAAGTAATAGCTTCCTTTTCATTATTTTTGTTATTTTTTTATCTGATATAGTATCTTTTTCAAATCTCAAAATGTTTATGGTCTGAGATGGCCTATACTGTACTGCCCACTGACTTTGGGCTCATGTTGGTAGAAGGGAGTTTTGCACTTGGGTGGGCCTTGCATTTATTTTCTTTCATTGGTCATCCTTCCTTCTAAAGTTGGCAACCTGACATTGTGCCCCTTTTCTGTGTTTACTTACCCCAGGTGAACGGTGCAGTTTCTGTTGTTTTTAGGTATGAAAGGAGCAAGATCCTGAAAATCCTGTCATTTAACTTCAGTCTTTTTTTTTTTTTTATACTGGGGATTTAACCCAGAAGCACTTTAGCACTGAGTGACACACTTGGGTATCCTCCCCAATGTGTCTCCTCCGCCCTGCTGTTTTTAAATTTTGAGATATGGTCTCACTAAGTTTCTTAGGGCCTTGCTAAGTTGCTGAGGCTGTGATTACAGGTATACGCCATTATGCTTAGCTTTAGATCTTTTCAAAAAAAATAAAAATATTTTTTCTTAATTACAAGAAGTGCTTGTCTGTTAGCTCCTCTATTTTAAAAATGTTTTAAAAATATTTAATTGACACATAGTAATTACATACATTTATGGAGCATAGTGGGATATTTCAGTACTTATATATATTCAGTGTATAATTATCAAGGTAATTGACAAATTTGTTGTCTCAACATTTGTCATTTCTTTGAATTAGGAACAGTCAAAATTCTCTCTACGGGCTAGGGTTGTAGCTCAGTGGTGGAGCACTTGCCTAGCACGTGTGAGACATTGGGTAGGATCCTCAGCACCACATAAAAATAAATAAATAAAATAAGAGTATTGTGTCCATATACAAAAACAATTTTTTAAAAATCATCTCTATTAGCTATTTTGAATATCTAATTAATTATTGTCAATCATAGTTATCCTTCTGTGACATTATTTCTCCTTCATATTTATACCCTCATACATGTTAACCATCCTCTGTTCATCTCCTCCTTCTGCAGTCATAATTTTTAATATATTTTTTAAAGTTCGTGAATTTTAAGGATAATTCACACACACATTTTTTAAATTTATTTTTTATTTTTTTAATACCTTTATTTTATTTATTTATATGTGGTGCTGAGGATCAAACCCAGTGCCTCACTTGTGCTAAGTGAGCACTCTACCGCTGAGCCACAACCCCAGCCCCTAATAAATCTTTTTTAAAAGCTGTTAAATGTGCAATTATATACTTGTTCAGCCTGACATGACTGAATAAATATTTTTTGTTTCTTTTGATCTAGCTTTTGCCTAAGATTAATGACCTCACTAAGCTCAATACTAACTAAGCTCCTTCATTTGTGTATGTATTTCAATTGGTTTTACTAGCTATAATGGAAAATACAAAGCAAAAGAATGCTGCTGCTTTCTGGAGAACAAAGTGCTTGTTGTGGATAGTGATTGTAAAAAAAATGTCCAATAGTGTTCAGCAAAATATAGTGCATTGTGGGCTGGGATTGAGGCTCAGAGGTAGAGCGCTCGCCTAGCACATTCGAGGCCCTCATAAAAATAAGTAAAATAAAGGTATTGTGTCTAACCAACTACAACAAAAAATAAAAAAATATATATTTAGTGCATTGTGTCATTTAAAATTTTTAAAAAATGTTTGGGGTCTGGAGTTGTGGCTTAGTGGTAGAGCACTTGTCTAATACATGTGAAAAACTGGGTCTGATCTTCAGCACCAAATAAATAAAAGTATTGTGACCATATACAACTAAAAAAACTTTGCTGATAAGCAAAGTGAGCAATCCCAAAAAAACCAAAGGCCAAATGTTTTCTCTGATTATGGATGCTGATCCATAATGAGGGCAGGGGAGAGAAGAATGGAGAAATTTTGGATTGGGCAGAGGGGAATTGGAGTGTGGATATGGGAAAGATGGTGGAATGAGATGGACATTATTACCCTATGTATGTGTATTATTACATGAATGATATGACTCTGCATTGTGTACAACCAGAGAAATGAGAACTTGTGCTCTATTTGCGTACAATTAGGTGAAATGCATCCTGCTGTCATGTGTGACTAATTAGAACAAATAAAAAAAAGTTTGAAAGGCAGACCTAGTTCCTTAGAAGACTTTCTTATTCAAATCATATTTTCATCTAACTGTTTGAGATGGTCAAGTCTGTCATCGTAAAATGTATGTCTGGGTAGAAGAAAATTGGAGCAAAGAGAGGGAAATACAGAAAAACATCATGAAGTAATGCCAACATAGATTATTAGAGTCTTTCCCAGCTAGTATTTGCATGGAATGGTGAGAATGACAATTGGAAAGGGACTATTCAGGGACAATTAGTGGCTACTGTGATTGATCTCATTAATATATGACCTTTCTATATGTGTCTTGTATAAGTAGGTACAGTTATTACTTTAAAATTTACTATAATTTAAAAAGAAAATTTTTTGTCCTTTGATTTTAAAATTTTCTCCAGTAATCCTGGGGGCTTCCTTGATTGTTTTTATTTTTACTTCATTCTAATTTTTATTGCTGGAAATTGAATCCAGGGCCATACAAGAACATGCCCTAACATTGAGCTATGCCCAGCCCCTTAATATTTTAAAATTTGAGCATGTCTGGTGTTTTCATAATGATTTCTTGACTATCATTTCTTCTGCTAGCATTCTTGTTTAAAATTTGATTGTCTCCTCTTTTTTTTTTTTTTAATAGCATTCAAGAAGATAAACAAGCAAATGTTGTTAAACAAGTCCCTGTTTCAAGGACCCGATTTCAGAAACCAAAGCCAAATATAGGAAGAGGAAATGGAAGAAGAGAGAGATCCTCTAAGGAAGAAGTACCAGAGGAGATTCTTGCCTCTGGGGAAATGACAGTGGCTTTGAGACAAATTGTAAAACTAGACACCCAACCGAGGGAGAAGGTACCAGTGACAACCACTACTGCTAAAGAAACTAAGTCATGTTTAAAAGAAACTGGAAGAGACATTTCTCTTATGGAGAAGATGCCAGAAATAACTGATAATACTCTGGAAATGCAGGCAGGTTTGAAAGCAATTGGAAGAGAAATTTGCCCAAGGGAGATGCTATCAGAAATGACCAAGAGCACTGTGCAGAGGGAGACAGATTTGAAAACACCTGGAAGAGTGTTTTCCCCAAGGAAGAAGGTGCAGGAATTGATTGATGCCATTCAGGAAATAGACAAAAATTTGGAAGAAACTGGAATAAGAGAAATATCCCCACAGGAAAATGTCCAAGAGATCAAGTCTATAGGTGAGATGGAGACAAATTTGAAAGAAACTGGAAGAGAGATGCCCATAAGAGACAGGACTCCACAAAAGATTGATGTCACTCAGGAAAGAAAGACAGATTTGGAAGAAACTGAAGGAAGAGAAATATCTGCGTTAGTTAAGGCTCCAGAGGAAGTCACAACTATAGATGAAATGAAAACAGATCTGAAAGAAAGTACAGGAGATATTTCCCAAAGGGAAAAGGTTCTAGTGACGGTCAGTGACCTAGAGGAAAGGGAGGTTGATTTGAAAGAAACTGGAAGAGACATTTCTCTGATGGAGACCACAGCAGGAGAGATGACTGCCATTGTGGAAATGGAGGCAGATTTGAAAGATACTGGAATAGACATTTCCCTTATGGAAACTGTGTCAGGAGAAATGACTGCTGTTGAGGGAATGGAGACAGATTTGAAAGATACTGGAAGAGATATTTCCCCCATGAAGACCATATCAGGAGAGATGACTGCCATTGAGGAAATAGAGGCAGATTTGAAAGAAATTGAAACAGACATTTCCCTGACGGAGACCATATCAGGAAAGATAACTGCTATTGTGGGAATGGAGGCAGATTTGAAAGATACTGGAAGAGACATTTCCCCGATGGAGACCATATCAGAAGAGATGATTGCCACTGAAGGAATGGAGGCAGA